TTTTTGAAACATATATATGATTTATTTTCAGGCTAGATCTTATTTTCAGGCTAAGTCTTATTTTCAGACTAGGTTATATTTTTAGGCTAGGTCTTATTTTCAGGCTAGGTCTCTTTTCTAGGCTAGGTTTCATTTCCGGGGAAACGCGGTAGGACCACAGCTCGTGTTCTTCAGTTTCATATGCAACGCTCATTCACGTTTTTCTTTCTGAACAAGGTTATGTACAAAAATCCACTGATATCTAACACTTACCTGTCGTGAGACAAATATTGACTTCATATTCTTTTATCGTCGTCATTTCTCGCCCGTGTTCAATATCATTAGCTGAGTGAAACGGAATTCTACACAATACCGACATTATTGATGTGGTAATATATATATAAATATTTGTTTTTTTGTCATATGTCGCTCGATTTTAAAATAAAATCGTTATTTATTACGGTAAAATGGTAATATTTAAACAAATATTATTTACTTTCACTTTGCGATTTTTTACACGAATATTGGTCGATGGACGCAAAACGAAACTACACGCTGGTCTTCCAGTGATTTGACGACTATAACACCATATGAATTTTTTGAGAAGTTTTTATTTACAGTGGAGTGAAAAGCGTATATAAATGGCTAATAAAATGTGATTTTATATATAACGTAATTTAGCGTTTAAAATTTAAAGCCAGTTAGGTGCAGGTATTGGTATATCGTAGAAGATCTACGAAAAGACAAAATGGTTGAACAGCTCTATTCAAGATAATTTAGTTTTCAATAAATCCTAATGTTCAATTATAAGAAAACGTTTTTCCAAAATATTTTATACGTCGACTACTGGGATACATTATACATTGGGTCGAAATATAGTATTGTGTGTGCTCCAGAAGTGCGTGTACCAATATGGAGGCAACTATAAATTTTGTTTGCCTACTTTACATCAAGTTGTATAAAGCGACTGAAGCCTATGGGCAGGGGGTATATTCACTTGGCTAACACATACAGTCCCCCAATTCGTAATAGAACTAGAATACGGAGAATCTGAATAAAATTATGGCCTAACTCTAACCTGGTACACACACTACGGGAGTACCGTATCGTGCACTAAGAAGCCACATAAAGAACGAAAATGTATGGACTTATTTTTATTTTTGCTTCTTTCAGTTTCTAGTTCCTATATGATGATTCCTATATTTGTTTCAATGCGACTGAACGTTGCTCATCCCTATTTGTGTGTAATTTTATTGCATTTGCTGCTATACCGTGTTCAAGGTGAGATATGCTAAAGGAAATACTAGATGTGATTTTTGAAAGTGTTCGTGTCATAGTTATTCTTTCAGACGCATGGATTTGATGGTGGAGGAAGCCGTAACCGACCAGTGGTTAGGCAACCAAATTACTACGCTACTGAGTCTCGCATATAATTATGCTGAATATATTGATATATGGGCATGTACTTGAGATACTGAGAAAAATCAGCAGCGGTTTGGGAATTTTTCCATTGACTTCAGCCGTGTCACAAATTATGTTTTCTGTTTTAAATATAAGCATTATTTTTTTAGGATTAATTTTGGGGTAAAAATTTATTAAATGTTTGAACCTATATAATAAAAACGTGTATATAGTTTTGCAATAGACAAATAGAATTCACCCTACGCAGGAAAATAATTTATCCTACGCGGAAAATAATTTTCAATATTTGATCCTATGGGGGATGTGATCCCCAGAGATATGTTTACAATTTTTGGGAGTTTTGGTCAGACTGCGTTTTGTTTAGCGAATGGTTCGGCTAAAAATATCTGAATAAACTGAAATTCGTTTACTTTGATTTTGGCAAATTATTGAAAATAATTTCTTCAACAAATATTCAACAGTAGATATCAAACGTAAACAAAATTACGAAAAAAAATTTGCACGCGTAGTTTTACTGGAGAACGGAAGTCTTGGAGAACTGAATCTGTTGAAAACTGCCTAAACGTGGATATTGGCACTGACTTTGCTTTTTGCCATCATCCTACAGATACCCATTCCGCAAATAAAAAATCCAAATTTACAGGAAAGGAGTGTCAAAGTGAGCAGCTAAAGGACCATGGATGGTTTGCATCGCCTGGTTACCCTGACAGCGAGTATGAAAAAAAAGTGAAGTGTACTCTGTGCCTTCCACCTTCCGGCGACGATCAGATTTTAGTTATGAATGTCACATTTATCAACTTGTCATGTCGGTCTGCAACCCTTACTCTGCCAGGATGTAAGTATAAAAAAATATGGCTTGTCCGCTCAAGACGATCAATTCTATTGCGTGCTCTGGGAATATATATATATTTTCCCTATGCTTATTCACGCTGTTCTCCCAGAACAAGGCCATGTGCGAGCCGACACTGACATCTAACGATATGAAAATTATCTATTTAAGGGACCGAAATCTTTCCGGTTCGGCAATGCTTACCCTGTTCGAGAAGGTGCGCAGTGTTCGTTTTCGGTGAGGTAGCTATAGTGGTGGTAGCTTAAAAGTCATATTCGAGATGGCAAAATACGGTGTCAAATTAGAGATGGCAAAATAGGGACGATGGGACAAAATAGGGATAGCGAAATAGGGTCGATGCGTGTCAAAATGGGGATGGGGAAATAGGATCAGTTTAGAGATGGCGAAAAAGTTGTTACACCGACGTTTATAAATTTGAAAATGCGCACAAGTTTATCGTGCAATTTGATCTTAAATGATAGGCGGTGTCACCAGACTTTTGTAGGCTACACCAATGTCATTGGCTACACCAAGAAACCGTATTTTGACACGCATCTCGCCATCCCTATTTAGACATCCCCAGTATGTTCTATGCTACCAACCCGTCTCGTTATTTTCAATCGTGTCACCCAGCTTTGTGTGTTTATACAAACTATCAATGATTACTTACGGCATTTGCCATTTTATGTTTATATCAGGAGAGCAAGTAAAAGACCTCAACGTTTTTTTGTCTTCAAACTCTTACCCCACAGACAAAATAATTTATCTTTTCAACGACATTGCTTCAATGAAAATTATCTCAATTTTTTTGTTTTTTCTAGTTAAAGCAAACAAGGACCAAAAGTCGGGCTTCGCATTGATATACTACAAACATTACAGTTGTCAAAGTGATAACGTTAAATGTACAGCTGAAGGAGATTTCCAAGTTGTCTTCAAAAGTGAGAACGGAAATTGCGAAGACAATCCTATTCCAATTGGATTCAACATGACTTATCACTACTACGATATCAACACAGGTAATATGAAAAACAGCATCATTTATGCTCAGAAAAAGACAAGGGACTCATTGATGAGATGGGGCATTCAACATTTACAAAATAAAATGTCGTCATAATATGACATCATTGATGGTTATACTTATACAAAATATCAATGCGAATCAAAGAAAGATAAATGAATTTTCCTACCGTTAGAGGTTTGCGCCGATTACGTTTCTGGCATATGTTATGGAAACTTATACGTCAATATATATATCTATCTTCGCTATCACCTTATTGACGATCTGAGCAATAAAAAGCGTCATTTTCAACATTAGTCGTTTTTCCTATTGCTTCGATATCGTATAGGAAAAAAAGATTTTATTTATTTCGTCAACCAAAAAATACAGTCATCAATAAAATATAGCAACAGCAATAAAATTAAATTTGAGTTGGGTTGCGCGAGACTAACTTCCTATCTTTTCTCTATGCCTTTATGCTAGTGGATATGTATGCGTATACTGCAAGGATACTGTATAGCTGGAATAAACATGACTATTCTATCCAATTCAAAAGTCCAGCTGCACACTAACACAATGTATTTCTGTAACGTTTCGTCTGACCAGAGTCAGACTTCCCCAGACAAGCAGTTTACAACAATGAAGCAAACAGAAATACATTTGCGTTAGTGTGCAGCTGGACTCTTTAATTGGATAGAATAGCAATAAAATTGTTTTGCTATGGACAGGAGGGAGCGATACGACCAATTCAGCTTCCACCATATGCGTATAAGCGAACTAACAAAACACTTCAAATAATGAGCACACATATTTTAGCAATATGATCCGCCATAATTATGTGTTGATATGGATAATGTACATAATTACAATCTAACTTGTATTACAACGTATAAGTTTCGTTTTACGATTTCTATCTCATTACAGTAAAACCCACGACACCTTCTTCGCGGACTACCTCTCCGTATATTTCCACGAGTATCGTAACAGTATCGACCATACCAGAAACCAGCACTGCAACGATCGGATTATCCACTGTGATTCCAAATGAAACATCGACCATCGAAGGATTTTCGACAGAAACAACAACGGCAGATGGTAATGATTACGTTTTTATTTTTATTAACCAATTGGTGAGTATTGCGATGAACAATTGTGAATGAGACAGCCTTGCTTAAATTAATGATCACGATCATTAAACAGTGAGCCCTGGCCGACCAAAAATCTTGAAGCGAATACGAGTAATAGCCTTCTGAGATTTCCGCTTTCCTTCTGTCCGAGCATTTTAAATTAGATAGACTGGATGGTAATCAGACAAGAGACAATGAGTTTTCACATGAATAATTAAGGGGGCTGTCTCTTATGGATAAATAGTCCAACAAATTGGGAGAAAATCATTTTTTTAAGCGATCCATATCTCTACTTCGTGTCTACGACCAGTCAAAAACAATGTCTAAAATGTACGATCCATTTATGGAAATTCCTTTCGTCGACTTACATAGCGGAGGCAAAGTAAAACCTTTGATGTACTTCATCACGCGAATAGAAATTTAAGCATTATTCCGATACAGAATAATCTACTTGGCGAACTAACAATGACTATTATTTTAATGAAGCAAAGATTGAAGGAGATAAAACCAAAAATATACTTTATAACGGTCAATTATAAAAAAACATGCAAATTAATTTTTTGTGAAGAAAAATGACTGACAATTTCAAGACCCCAAAACGATAAATTGATGGATAGCATTTTTAATATATATATATATTATCGTTCATTGCTAGAGCCTGTAACAAGGATACCTCTTCAGTCGTCTTCCAAAAACTGCGATTGTAACTTAGCTATTCCTCTTGCTGTCGGTGGATTCTGCTGGGCATTTTTAGCAACTGTAATTTTAATTGGAGTACTGTTGATGATAAAAAGGTAACTAATTAGGATTATTGTGTGATGGGAAATCAAAACAATAAAGCAGGATCCAAGCTGAGCATGAGAAACCATTTTATCGGGCAGTAAAAATGCAAAACTTTTAGACATTTGGCAATTGCTTTAACAATCGAGTCATTTTTGTTTTATGCACTTTTATTTGAAGTAACGCGGGTACAATTGCCGATCATCTTGGCTGAAACGTTGACTCAGAGTAAATTTAAGCATCACAAATCGAAGGAGAACTTTCAAATTAAGCCAATGTGTCGTTAAAAGACAAATAGTATAGTCAGCGAGATCAAAACAAACGCCACTTTTTATTATTTTTTAGAAATAAAGCTCGAGCCAACGATAAGCACCTCAAAGCCAAGGGTAAATCAAGCCAACAACATTTAAATGATGGAAAGAAATTGAATCATCAAAAGAATACTGACCAGCAAAACAATTACTGTGAGATTGATGGGGTTTGGAAACAACAAATCAAATACGAATTAAATGGTTCGGTCAACCAAGCCTACGACGTCATATCTTGGAAAGCACTAAGTTCGAATCAATCCATAGAAAAAATAGGTCATCAAAAGAAACTAGACATCAAAAACATCGGAATAGAAAATCTCGCAAAATGCGTACAAAATCAGAAATTAAACGGCGAAATTGTGGATGATATTCTGTACGAGCCAATCAGTGTTGCCAGTTCTTCTGAATTAGTAAAGCAACCTACAATGCCAAATCCAGCTACTGTTACAACGAACAATAGTCTTACCAGTGAGAATGATCTTAACTTGAACGTGGAATCCAGTCATTACGGCCCAGAGATTAAAGATAATGTATTATACGGTTCACTCAATTATTCACAAATACAGAAGAAACGTTACTTCTCTGCTGATGACACATCGCCGTGCTGTGGGCTGGAGACCAACGGATCTCAACGATTCTCAAAATCCCTGACGGAACATATCACCGAGAGTCGCGATATACTAAATCTAACTGCAAACGGGGAGGAGTGGATTTCCCAATACGAGTCTTATACAACTGATATGGTAGAAGAGGCACTTCATGGATCTTCGAGCTCAGCTAATAAACTGAACAATCGTCAGAAGGCTTCCCATAGGAACCAAGATATAATATCGCCGAACAACTCTTACGAAGTGATTGATAAATGTTTTGAGTAAAAAATTGTTATGTTTACCAAATGCCTGAACATTTTCATCAAGTAATCCAGTTGAAGTGAGGGTCACCTTGTCTAATATAATCTCCAATATCCATTATATTCTGTACAGCAATGCCGGTTCATTAATTCGCGAATCATTCTTTCCGACAATAACAGCAGTGCGAAACCAAAATACCTCGTTTCTCGATAATCAAATTTGATTTCTTTTGGATTTCCTTCAACGGCAGTTCAAACCGAGTGCTTTATTTTTTCTCGTAAATCGTGTAGGATTTATTTTTACTGATTGGAAAAAAAAAACTTGACTTGAAAGCATTGTATATTATAGGGAAATATCAACATATTAATTCTTACCGTAAATGTTTAGTTACGTCAATCCTAGTCGTTTCAATTATAAATTCTCTTCTATTTTACCTTTCAAATCCGATTATATTTTGACGATTGAGAGTCTTTTTTCACAAATAATTTCAACACTAACGTAATTTGAAAAAAAACAAGAGAGCTACGCACAAATATATGGACACGTTAGACCAGAGCGAATCAGTCTTTACCGGTACCTTTGACGCTACCGGTACCCTCAAAAAAGTTCTGAATTTCCAGTAGCAAGAATTTTGCAGAATCAAAACGTACAGCCAGTCATGACACTGACTAAAATCCGTGTTCCCATGGATAAAAAATAATACAGCAAAATTTTAGACGAAATATCAAATTTCATAGAATTCGCGCAAAATTTTGAAATAAATAAAAGTAATAGCCTTCTAGCGAAGAAATTAATCTTTAACCACTGAAAATTTCAAAGCAACTGGTCCAGTATTCGAAGAGAAAAGCGATTTTAAAAACGTGCCAAAGAACAAGAACAAGAACAACAACAACAACATAATATGGAAACGATCGTTATGGCCACTAAACGTGTCCAATAACTACAATATTATTGACCATTGACTGCACATTCGTTGGTTCACATCTTTATCAGGATAAATAGGAAAAATGATTTGCAGTACCGGTACCTATGCAGCGTGTGCAGTAGGGATTTTCGTAGGGAACAACAGGGAGATGGCGGTGGGGGGCATGACCATTTTAGTCGGGTACAAAGTGACTATAGTAGTCACTTTGGTCGGGTCGGGATAATAATAATCTTTATTTTGATTTACCCAAAAAAACATACACATAACAAATAATGAACACATAAAACAAACACACAGAATAATGGGAAATCGGGAAAACAGGCAAAACCTCGAGTAGGGTTTAAAACGCGTATAAATACATGTGCCTGTTCACCCATGATATTACACCCACAAACATATTACAAAAAAACATAAAAACACGAACGTGTTATCGTTCCAGCGTTCGGGCGTCTGACTTGTGTTACAAACAAAATGCAGGTGCGGTAGGTTCTAATTTAAAACTGTTCACGTCGAAACGGACATGATCGGGCTGTGTTTATTAAATTGGCGTAAACAAGTGCAAACTAGTGAGTTAGATAAAAGCAGTGTCAGAATGAGTTATAAATAAATCGAAATATCTTTTGGTTGATTTACCCATTGTAAATAAAATGCAATGTTTCATATAAAATGCCTGCCTGTCCATCTCTTTTTCCTTGGTTCTTTGCGAAGCAAGTATGTAAAATTGGAATCTTGGGTACCCGTACAGCAATGCCAAAGTAGTCTTTATTATCCGAATCCTATTATTTCGCTGTTCATCATTTAGAAAGTTGATTGTTTCTAATTTTTGTATTCCATTTGTTTCCACTAACCAAGTTGTTATCTTCGGCGCTATTACTTTTTGTTTCGTTTTCAATTCTAGTATTTCACCTGTTTACCTCTCCATGCCTCTGGCATGGAGAGACATGTACTAAACCCAATTATATATTTGGGGTTCCTTTAATTACCGGAACGGACCCTAAATTACCGGAACGGGATGGAGAACATACATAAGCTATCCGGAACGGACCTTTAGATGTCTTGCATATGTCATTTCATATACTTCCATGCAATTTTTATATTAAATCGGCAAACTTGGGGGGGGGGGGGGGGGGCGGGAGTGGTGAATTTAATTTTCTTTAATTACCGGAACGGACCCTAATTTGCCGGAACGGAGTGGAAAACTTACCAGAACGGACCTTTAGATGTCTTGCAAATGTCATTTCATATACTTCCTTGCAATTTTTATATTAAATCGGCAAACTTGGGAGGGAAGGAGGGGGGTCAGTGGTAAAAATAATTTTCTTTAATTGCCGGAACGCAGTGAAAAACCTACATAAACTTACCGGAACGGACTTGTATAAATCTTGCAAATGATATTTTATGTTCTGCTAAGCGATTTCTCAAATATAATGAGAAAATTTGGGGGGATAAATGGTAGAAAATACCAATTTCATTTTGCGCTGCCTAGTGGCTGTAAATTGAGCAATGAATTCCTGAATCATCTCTTATCAATATGAATTAATGATAAAAGTCGATAATCAAAACCTTCTTACATGTTATTAGCCTTTAATTTTCCTTGTAGATAAAATACCGTAGTCATAGATTCAGATTGAAACAAATAAAAATTGTTTCCACAAACATTCTTGTGCAGGTGTTGTAACTATGTAGCACAACATAAATATCCACCTAAGCCTGTCATTAAAATGAAAATGTTGTTATTTTAGTTCGCGTTCCTGTCAGCCGTAAAGACTGCCGTTCCGGCACTGTAATCTACCTTGATAGATTGCATATTGCTTTGTGTCCATATATTTGAGCATCGTCCTCTTGTTTATCTACATACATACAAATCTGATCCTCCAAAATGACTCCTTCAAAATTTACTAATATGTTAAAAATTGTTTCCACAAACATTCTTGTGCAGGCATTGTAACTATGTAGCTAAACATTTTATATTGGAACTGGTTGAAGTACGTGAACATATTTGACAAAATACTTGAATTTAAAATTTCAGCATAGGAAAATGCAAGAGGTGACCACGAGTTGAAAACGATTGTCGCTATAGCCTTTATAGCGAGGACGGTTCAAAGTGCTCCTACTGATTTCGAGCCTCGTTATCTCATCTACAAGGAAAATTAAAGGCTGATAACATCTAAGAAGGTTTTGATTGTCGATTTTTACCACTCTCCCCCCAAGTTTGCTGATTTATTATAAAAATTGCATGGAAGTATATGAAATGACATACCGGTATGCAAGACATCTAAAGGTCCGTTCCGGTAGGTTTATGTATGTTTTCCACCCCGTTCCGGTAATTTAGGGTCCGTTCCGATAATTAAAGGAACCGATATATTTGCACATACCAGATTTTGCGGAGTCTTTTTCCATCTTTTTTTAAATCCCAATTACTCCCCAGTATGCAGCAAACGGCAGCAAAGCAGAAGTGATGATGTAAATTTAAACAAAGCCAAATTCATAATACCAAAGATTGATTAAGATACAAATTTATACGTCCTACCTCCAAGCGGCTCACGCCGAAAGAAGAAACGTAACAATTTTAGAGGAGGCGTTCATTCACAGTTCTAGTAGGGACATAGCGGGGATCGACAGTCTCATAATGCTGTATCGACATAACTATTCTCGTAGAGACGAAGTCATTTCATTGTGGATATACCCATTATAGTAGACTGTAGAGTCAGAGACATACCGGCACCGTAAGCGTAACGGACATCGCTATTTTAGTAATGTAGTAGGAACATGGCGGTAGGGTAGCAAATTTTCAAGGTTCTAGTCTGGACTACAGTCATTGAATTAGGTAACGTAGGGCGTAAGGTTAAGTTGTTGCAATGTAGGCCTACGTACACAAAATTACAATACATATTTTCAGATTTTATATCATATAGGCCTATGGAAACAAATATCAGAATATTGCAGAACATAATCAATAATTTGGATAATCGAACACGTACCGTACTTAGCGTACTACAGTACTACTTTTATCAATACCTTCCCACCTAAAATCTGTACGCTTTAAAACTTACTTGAGGTTTCGTTTGCTTTCTCGATTCTATAATCAGTTTTATTTATTACTTATCGATATTTAGATTTAGATAGAGTCATGAATCGAAACCGCAGTTTCGATCGATAAGTCTTCAGTCTCCGACCGACATTCTTGTTATGTTTTTATCAAATATTTTATCGTCTATTGCTGATTATGGAGTCGAAATAAACTTACTTACAAATTAATTATCTTTGAAACGAACTAGACACATCATCTACTATAAGTCTATAACACAGCTTTATTGCAGTACTGTGTATTTGTCCAACACTTACAGGTACAGACTTATAGAAAATTAAACTCCTATTTCAAATGTTTAAATTTATTCGGGTGTGGTAGCTTATCATCAGCATGGAACTTGCTACCAGTAACAATAAGACAAATGTTTTATCTGTTGCAAGCAATGTAGACTTGCGGGATAGGATCGTTGGCGATTATGTATTGGACTGGTCAAAAGATAATTGCATTGCAGTTGCTACAAGTAAAAATGTAATGCTATATGATTTGAATCCATTATATGACGTGAACAGCTCGGAAATGTGTTTCAAAATCCAAGCCATCTCGCCGATTGACTCGCTTGATTACGACGCTGGAGCTCGGAAAATGATGTATGATTATGACATGTTGTGTGCTGTACCGTCCAAAAATTCTGCTTACCCTGACTTCGAAATTTATCGAATGCATATGGATCTTAGCATAAATAGATCTCATGGATCGGAAGAAGTTGGAGACATGGGATTCCGAGCGGTTCAGTTTTCACCACTAGGGTGTGCAGTAGGTAGCGGAACTGTTCTTGCCACTTTGACAATGGGGCATCAGCTTCAATTGTTTTCAAAATCTTCTGATGGTATATTTGTACAATGGAACAACATTAGAAATCTAACTGAAATATTAGTCAAAATTCTGCTTAAAAATGAACAATATTACCCTAAAATTAAATTCCCAACACAAAAATTAAAATCCCAGAATATAGTCGAGAAACAATATGCACCTTGTATTGTTTGCATGGAATGGTGGGATAAAATATACATAAAAAGTTCCAATGAAAAATTTATATTTCTTGCCACTGGTACGAAAAATAACTTTGTAATAATTTGGAAGTTGCATCTGCCGATTAGTTCAACTTCAATTGTGACTATTGTGAGTTACATTAAAACAAATTTAAAAGGGATTAAAAGTATTAGCTGGTTGAAAATTGTATCGAATAAAAAAGAAATTTTAAAACTAGCAATTGGGGGAATTGAAGGCGTGGTCAATTGTTTAGAGATTGACTTAGATGGAAATTTGTTGAAAGAGAATGAAGTTTGGAACGACAGAGACCAGCTCACGGTTTCTGCTATTGATTGGAGAGAAGCTGATGAAGGTGATGACACTGGTTTGCTTGTGGCAAAAGGACCTTTGCTTTTATATATGAAAATATCTTCTGATCTTGCGTTGATATCACATTCAGTTTTAATTGGGTTACACATTCTTCCAGTTGTGAATATACAATTTGTAGACCAACCTGCTTCGTGGCTTACAATCAGTAGAGATGGTCGTCAAGCTAAAGTTGTTTTGAAAAAATCTACCGAGGAGAATCTAAGACTACAGTATGAGGTTTTATCGGAGCAGACTAATCAATCTTCTATGGTTTTTCACGAAACAACGCATTATCATATTTTATCACCTAACGGAGCTTTTGTTGCGAATTTACGATCAAAACCCAAAGTATCATTATCTATACTTGTTGAAAATTCAGCGTATTTGGAAATTTTAACTCTTAAAAGCGGAATGGAATGTTTTCAATCATTGTGCGCTCAAGTGGAACAAAATAATGCAGAGGAAAAAATGAAACTAGATTTGGTTGAGTCCATTCGACTTCATCTTATAAACAAAAGTGTGTTTAAGAATGAGTCAGACTCTGTATTACTGAGAACTTGCCTAGAACGGTTTCTTGACTTCGATGATGCGGAAAGCAATAAGTTACGCTTGACATGGATTCTGTTAAAAATTTATTCTGCTGTTTTTTCAGACGAGGGACAAGATTACTCAAAAAAAATTCTTCAGAATGAGAAAATAATATCAAGCAAGCAAATGATGAAAGTTATAAAACACTGGTTCATAAATTCAAACGATGAAAAAACGGAAACTCATCAAATTCCTATAAAAACTATCATAAATTGGTTGTCGAAAAACAAAAATATTTTAAGCGAAGATGATTTTAGTTTTGTAGAAAAGGTACGAACCTCAAAAAATTATGAGCTTGTTAAAAAGGAAACATGCCCGATAACAAGAGAATTTTTAACCATGTCTGAGGACGCTAAATCTGCCATAACAGAGTCTAAATCAATGACTTGGTTTCGATGTTGCTTGACATTTTGTGCTCTTCATTGTTTCAAAGCAAGAAAGTGTGAAATCAGTAATTCAAGGGCATTGAATTTAAATGATTCAGGGAATGAGGAAGAATGTGCGATCAATGACCTGTTACAAGATTGTTCAATATACAGTGGTCTTCCTATGATTTAATTGTTTCTTATATTAGTATGCTTCAATAGAAATTCTCTTGACCTTTGACCCATCAGTATGCTTTAATGGGAAATCCCTTAGGATGCTTCAATAGAAATTACCTTGATCTTTGACTCCAAATAGGATAGGATTTTTGTATTCATTTATAATTTACAAGCAATCTTGAAAATCTGGGCCAACCTATTGCCTGAGCGATGGTCAAAATTTCATTTATAATTGCATCACAGTATACTTGTTTATGGTTAGTCATTGAAAAGGAAATAAACAAGGAAGTTATCAATGCTCTGTGAAACATCCTGCTTAATAACACATCATGGCAGGCGTGAATGTTAATAATGTGGAGATGATTATGTTTAAAAGATTGTAGGAACTGTTTTGGGTACACCTGTAGTGTGTGTGCCAGGTTAGGCCAACGTTTTATCCTGATTGCCCTATTTTAATTCTATTGCGAGTTCGGGGACGGCTCCTGTCACCATGTCAATAGGTGTCAGTCCCTTTACACAACTTGATGTAAAGTAGGCGAACAAAATTAGTTACCTCCATATTTGTACACATGCTTCTAGAGCGCTGTTGTGTATAAGGCGCATATTCATGTCTTTTGCTCTTAACAAGGTCATATACAAAGAATCCACTGATATCTAACCATATGAAATCTCTTAGGATAGGCGTTTTCTTATACTATGTGCATTTCATTATCTTTTTATGATGATATTATTTAAATCATGTTCCACTTATTTTCCCCATTTTTACTTCACTGCCAACACCCTTTTTTTTAGCGTAAATTGTATTTATTTACATGAATATGGTGATATAGAATAGAGAAATCAGAATTGGATTTTTCATGTTTGTTGTTTGGCATTAATAAAGGAATATACAAGAGCAGGAAAAAATGTCAGCAAGAAAAGCGACCAAGGTGACTTAATTCAATACGTTTTTGATAAACTTGATGGGTATGTCAAAAAATTGGTTTGAAACTGACATGGGCAAATTACAGCCCGTGGGCCGAATCCGGCCCGTTTGGTAATTCAATATGGCCCGTCGGGTGCTGCCACAACTAAACTGAAACCAAATTTTGATGTTTTAGCTAAAAAATAGCTTAACAAATTTGTTGTGATTGCAATCAAATTTGGTATGAGACTTATTGTTTCTTTGCTTTTGTAACAATTGTTGTTCATGAAATATAACTTTTTACGTCACACTTACCGGTACATGGCCCGTCAGTCTAGGTGGACAAAATTTTTGGCCCTCGGTCTAAAAACCTTGCCCAACCCTGGTTTGGAATCATCTGTTGAATTTTTGTAGCATGTGTTCTAGTGACATCTTATGAGGGTTTTTCTTGGTGATTCCGAGCAGAGCCTAATATAAATCTCATCACTTTATTTAATTATACTTTCAAATTCTTCTTCTTTTATGTAGCCGTCCAATGCCAGTCAGGAAGATTCAGAAGACTACTGGAATAAATCTGCACTCACAAAATTTAATTTCGACGATGAAGAAGATGAAGACACAATAGAAGTTACTAATTGGGATGGATCTTCTGCTAATCCTGATAGGTGAGTGTTGCAATGACGTGATCGAATGGAATATTATACTACATTGTAGTCTAGATGTTGTTTTTCTCTAAATATCAGACCAATGGTGAATGGTTTTATATTTTAGTAGGTAAAAGAAGTGTGCCCTCGTTTTTTGTTTCAAAAATTGCTTTCTTTTTTCACAAACTTTTTTGATTGAAAATTATTTTTTAGGATTTTGGTGTATCTAGTACAGGGTATTTTCCTGCCTATCAGTAGTTTGTAAAGTGAATGAAAAACACTCTATATGTAAAATATTATGAATTTTCCTTCGAATTCAGATAAGACAAACATAAGCTTGAAACATAATTTATGTAGGTCTACCTATGCACGAGGAAATGAAGTTTGTTTTTGAAATTCTGACTAATAATTTACAAATATTAGTGAGTTTTTTCAAATATCAAAAGATGCTTATTTCAGCTTTTTGCATCCAAAACAATATGTAAAGAGCTACTCTTTTGAAAAGACAAATATTTTTCGGGTTTGGCATTGCCTAATAACCAATTAATCACACTCTGGGGTTGATGTGGTTGCCTGGAATTAGAATCCAAGTTCTTCACCAAATATCCAGCAATCTGACCACAAGACCATTTCATTCTATTTAAATAAAATACATAAAATTTCTAAGAAATCTTTATCTGTATTCAAGTATTTACTCTATATGATTTTCAGACCTCATTCTCAAACATCACAGAAGACCAAGGCATCAACTATTGCAACCGCGGTTTCAGCTCGTGCTTTTCGAGGAAAGACTGGCTCAGCTTCTCAGGTGATGACAGATTCTATTTATTTTTTTTGTTTTTCAATTTGTTGTTTATAAAAAGTTGGGGGCTCCCGAAGTATGCGAACCAAGATGGCGGACATCGGAATTTAATATGTGTACTAGGTTAGGGTTAGGCCATAATTTTAGCTATTAATACTACGGGAGGCTCTTGGCTAGTCTTCGAACTGATAATAGGACTAAAATAAGGAAAATTGGAAAAAAATTATCGCCTAACCCTAACCTGTTACCCATGTTACGTTCCGATGTCCGCCATCTTGGTTCGCATACTTCGAGAGCACCAAAAGTTGGGAGGCAACCTTCAAGTTCGAAAAGGCATCCCGGAAAATTTTGACTACATCTTCAGAAGCATCTTACTTTGTTCTTGCAGTGTTTGCTAGTCCCAAAATACAGTGTCATGTCCAGTTACAGGCCATCCTGCAGACAAGTTTATTAAATCCATTGCCCAAGTTCGAATACTTTGGCGCTAAAATTGCCAAAAATCAAATCTAATAAAAAACTTCTTATGGCAGTGTAGTGGAATAATTAAAATATGATTCTTACCACATACAAAAAAATCAGGGTTAATGAAGGATATTCTACTTGTCCCACTTTCGACCTCTTGATTAGACTAAATTGAAGTTCATATATCAATTCTTCCATCATGTAAAACTATTTTTTTTTTTACAGTCTGTAAAATTCTCTGCTCGGGGAGGAGCGTCTATGAGTAATAGTGTTGTGTCGCCACTGGAATCAAGTAAAAATGAAAGTGAGTTTTATGTGAAATAGCTGACCTGTAGTGGCAGGACCTAGGCTAATTGTTTCATTCCTAATTTTTGATCATTTCGAAAAATTGCTCCACACTGTGAATTCTCAGTAGGGCTGTCCGAACTCGAATATTTTTTTGATTTGAATCGAACCGAATATTTTTCTCGAATCGAACCGAATAAAAGAATATTATTGCGCAATCCTAAATTTGTCTCTAATCTAATGTACAAAAAAAACTTCCTCTTCAATATTGTGATAACGTATGTGCAGTTATATTCAAATTATTGCAAACATTTTGCATAACTATGTTTCCAGAGTTATAAAAGGAGAACACAATCCTCCTTGAACTGGTCAAAAAATTAGGGTTTTGAAAACTATCAAGTTTTAAGAGTTGAAAATTGCACAGACTCTTTTAATGCTCGTTGTTGCTATTTTAGTCCTATCATCATTAGTATTATTAACTCAATATTTTTCGTGTAATTTTCAGTAAAATGATAAACAATTATTAATATAGATATAACTGTTGCCCAAAAAATTCAAAATTGCATTTCGGGAACTCACAAATTCAGAGCTAGTTTGATGACATTAATATTTGATGACCATATTGTTGCTGTACAACAGCCATCAACTCACAAAATTGCAATTATTTGTCATAGTAATAAATTTTATTGGAAAAAGATATTGGACCTCCAAAACGTGATTCAGTCCTGTACCATGTTCCTATGATTACTGACACAACAGCTACAAATCGATTCTATTTATAGAACTGGCGTTTTTGGCTGACACAAAATTTGCCTTTTTCTCCTTGTGTTCTCTCAAAAAACGTCATCTTTAAATCATTGTTACCAATAACTTTTCATTTATGACCATGCATGGAATGGATAATTACATGTCACCGGGCAATAGGAGAGACCTTTTTACAGCAAAGAAAGCGATAGAAACATGTTTTTGCTTGCCGGTGAAAAAGCCGTGCAAAGGTGGTCGTGAGGCGAATTATGTACCAAATTTTAGCGATTTGTAAATTGGCCCAAAAACGCTTCGAATAATTTGCGATTCGATTCGATTTCGAATATTTGGTTCGCTTGGACAGCCCTAATTCTCAGTCAACCGAAATTGGAGAGCAATGTCCAGAAATGGCCAGAACCAAATATTTCACTAATTTGAACACATTCTGAAAGGTCATTGTTTTCTCTGTGTTGTTTATTATTAGTTGAGATATCATACATTTTGATCTGCTTGCCTGATGGCTCTGAATCCCTCTCAATTTCCAAATAAAAATATTCTAAATTATTCCAAACTCAAAGTTTTTTTATATCAAATATAATAAATTTGGAGTGTATCGATTTGTTTCGGACATCACTGGTGAGGTCCCAAGAAACAGTGTTAATACTAATGTCGTAGGTATATTAGTGTTACCTCCTTGTTTTCTTATATTTTCAAATCTTCAATTTATAATTCCCAGCACCTCAAGGAGTATCAACAACTGTCTTAGCAAAACTAGAAACAGAAAGAAATACATTGAGAAAACAATTAACCCAAGCAAAACGTGAAAGAGCAACAGCGCCCTCTAAACAAGAAACTTTGAAAAGATTCATGGTAAGATATTTTCACTTGGATTGAATTAAAACTGCAAAAATATCGGGTGAATTATTGGGTCACAAAGGATGCAGAGGGAATTAAAAAAAAATAAAATGAAGAAATAGCCTTCTATAAGTATTGAGAATTTGAAATAGGTTGTTCCATTTTTTGTAAGGGAAAGCGATTGTCTCGCAACAATTTAGCAAAATCTAAAAGTACACTTCATGTCCAATAATCAAAAGGTTGATAAAATATTGAATTATGCAATTTTTTCAACTTCAAACTTGTGATTCATGCGTTTGAGTGTGGTCATATATAGAGGCGTATTAAATGAAGAAAAAAGGTACTACCGTAGTATGTGAACCAAGATGGTGGACACCGGAACGTAGTATGTATACCTGATTAGGGTACGCGATAATTTCAGGTACAAATACCACAGGAGTCACTTGGCTAGTCCCCGAACTCGTTGTAGAACTAAAATCCGGTGTCCGCCATCTTGGTTCACATACTTTGTGAGTACCAGAGAAAATACCTAAAAAATAAAACAGATTAAAATGAAACAAACCTGGTTAGGATATATTGAGAATTGATTTTATAACAAAATAGAAATTGTAAATGGACTTTGAAAATGCTCGATACGATTATCAAAATTAGCTTAAAATCTAAAATTATCTATTTTTTCATGATCCTTTTTTCTTCCAGCTCGGTGAATCTGTCGTAAAAGAACTGTATCGTTCAGTTGAAGACAAGACAGCGTTATTAGATGCTGCAATAAGAAGACATGATGGAAATGCGATTCTGTCTATAACATTATTCATGAGAAATACTTTAAAACGAGGTCAGTAGAAGTCTTCATTGTTCATGATGACTCTTGTCAAAAGACTGAGTTTGGAAATTAATTTTTGCTTTTGAATTGATTTAGGACAATGAACTAATTTTGATATATAATAATAATTCTTCTCAGGATATCCTTCTGAAACATGAATTGGTAAACCTTATGTGGGGAAATACTCTGTAATCTGTATAACTCCCATATGAGCTTTACCCCAATACGATATTTCGCAAATTAAGTTGTTTATAAAATTAAGTTGTATATAATGGGCACTGATAGGATCGCATTTTCAAATCTTCAAAGTTTTTTAAAACTAATGCGTAAAGAGCTAACATATTTGGAAAGACTAGAATCTTTCTGGATCAATACCATGTCACAACCAACATTGGATCCCCACTGCCTCCCTTCCCCAGTAAAATTATGTTCTTGACTTTTTCGCATATTTCTTGCGATGTATCTGTTATTATTTTACTGGTTGAAAAAAAAAAACTTCACGATGACTATGACTATTGCAAACCTATGGCAGTTTTAGCAAAGTCAGTGAGGCTACGGCAATCAACAGCCTTTGTCACACCTTCACTACTACAAACCCTGTACAGTGCTCTGTACAAGCAAGCATCCATTGATATGGATGAAGCTATCTTTTGGAAAACCAAAATCTTTCCCATTTGGCCCCAAGCCATCATGTAGAATCACAGAACAGCGGTTCCCAACCGAGGGGCCATGGCCCTCAAAATTAATTTCAATGGAATTTCGTTATGTACTTTTCCCACGTTCTCTATAATTTCATACTATAAATATAACCAGAATAATGAACACAGGGGCTACAAGCCGTAAAAGGTTGGGAGTCACTGGCATAGAAGTTCATTTTAAGTAGATAGTGTTGCTGTACAAAACTCCAATCAACAGACTTTTTACACCTTCACCGTACATGGCTTTTCACAAGCTGTCTTTGATACTTAACTACTACTTTAGAAAGGACTTGAATTTTTCCTGTAAGGCTGTGATAACACAAATCATCAACTAATGTGAAAACCTTTTTTAGAACTTTTCAGTAAAGAGCTTATGAGTCGTCCAGTCGCTGTCGATCATTATTGTGCTTATTTACAAGCTATATCCGAAATTGAAGAATTGCATGAAATATTAATGGTCCTTGGTCGAACTGAGGAAGCGGCCATGTTGAAATACAGACATTGTTTGAAATGTGCCAGATCACCGGAAGTTCGAATGAATGCACTCAAAGACTGTATAAAGTGAGTAAGGCTTTCAGTTTGATCGTGTCAAGGGTTCATAAACTGTGTGCTATAGCACAGGGCTACTCAACTGGCGGACCGCGGTCCGAATCTGGACCGTTCGAGTATCTGATTTAGACCGCACCTAGTTCTTCATTTTGGATCATTATCCCCACTTTTAAAGTTTCATTTTATAAATGTCTTTTATTGTTTTGAATATATATGAAAAGAACGATAACACCATAATTAGCAATCTTGATTAGCTGATAATCATCAACCGGCCAGGGAAGTGCGTGTTTGAGGATGCAGAAATATAATTTCTGGAAACACCGGACCCAAATAGTTTTGAAGTTTTGTATGCGGATCTTCGGTAAAAATAGTTGAGTAGCCCTGCTATAGCATATCAGCATGTCATGAGATATATTCAAGTGTGTGGCCTAGGTTTTAGAGGTACTAGAAAGACAATTGCGTTCACATGGCTTCATGGAGTAAATTTGGCAACAGTGAAACCTCATTTCAATCTTTTTCTACTTCCCTAAACATCTATCTTATGGGAGATTGACATCGACGGGATTGCTTCACCCTACATGGCTTCCTAACACTCAGCATGACAATATTGACTAACAGATATTGTGCCAACAAATTTTAATAGTTTTTTTCTTCTAGATACTACTTTGATTCCGATCCTCGACTTGCTAATGAAACAAGAGAAATTCAAGACCAAGTGTCATTGCTGAATCGGCAAAATATTATTGACGATAACGACAGTAAAACTCAAGAATCCGAAAAACCTTCAGTTTTTAAAACTCATCCAAGAAGAGAGAATCTTACAAACAAATCTGTTATAACGACGTTATATTATTGTTGTTATTATCATTGGGGAGAACCAGAGGTAGGTTATATCTATAATTGCTTTCTTGAGTCTCAAAATTAAAATTTCCGTTTGAAATATAATTTTCATAACATATTCATTGATCTGTATTATTCAATTATCTCATCAATGGATTATACTTGATCACAAGGGATTGTCGTAACCAAATACGGAACTATCCTGAACATAAATATCAGTAGAGGTTTTGCGAGACTAACTCCCAACCTTTCCTCAATGCCTTTGCTGCGCTAGTGGATCCGTATCCGTATAATGCAAGGATGCTGTAGCAGAAATAAAAATACCATGTTCTAAAAAAATTCACCAGAATCTGTAATTATGAATACATTTTAAAATCCAACAAAACCTTAATTTTATTCACTTTATTAAATTAAAAGGACATAAGAAGAATTGAGCTTTAAACATATATTATCTAAGTTTAGCTAGTAGGTGCTGATTTAAATTTTTTATGTAGACTGGTGATTTTTTGCTGTGGGCCAGGCATTTACTTACAATAGAATATTAGATAATCATATTTACGAAAGTATTTTTAATATTATTTATGAAGATTTTCAGACAGTGAATTTGATCATCCCTGCTTCAGTCATTTGATGAAATATTTGTAATATGATTTGTTTACATTGCTCTGCAATTGTATGTGTAGAAAGATAGGATAATAGTCGGTCATATAGCTATTTTCATGTCTTTTTTTTAATTTTAAAGTTATAATGGAATTACAGGGTATCCTAAGCAGTCCTCAATCTATAAAAAATGAATACAGAGTAGCTGAGAAAGCTTTTGTTTATACAGCCATAGCTGCATTGTGTCGGATGAGAAAGTAAGTGATATTTACTATTAACACAATATGGGATTGCCTCTTCACCTTTTAGATTACTTGAGTTTGAGTTGGAAGGAATGCAATAATATTTTATTCTTTACTTATTGTTATGCAATCGCATCATTGTTTGATACAAAGCATTTTATTGATTTTCCACATATTCATTGACAGATTATTGTAATCTGATAAAGTTTAATCTCGCAGCCACAGATGTTAGAGATTAAAGTATCTTGGCTAAATAGACCAGTGAATTGTTACGGAATTGTTGTGAAAAAAATTGCTCTTTTCCATTGCTATTGGATTACTCAATTGTTAATTATGAAACGTCTTCTGTTGTAATTGCTAATTAAACTAGTTAGATATTAATCTGACTCCAAACAGTTTATATAATAGGTTACTAATTCAAGTCGAGATGTCTGTTAATTTGATATAACAGCAAGGATCTAGACAAATGCCTGTACAGATTTTATTTCCTTCGATAATTATATTAATTACGATAAATTAAATCAAATAAACCAACTTACAATTTCAAGTTATTATTCATAACAGTAGCGATCATCAGATTTATTAATGTTTGACGATAATGATGACGATCTCTTGTATGTTTGAGATCGCATTTAAAGGGGTACAACAATTTTCTCGATTATTCGAGACCGTTCTTACACAGATTATTTATGTGAAACAAGGTCATTCGATATATCACATGGGAAATTATTCGCTATTTCGCATGTTATGTTGAAATATCATATTAGAATGATCTTGAATATTCTCCAATATTTATGACTTAGGAATTATTTTTAGTCTTGATGTCATTATTTCCAAAATTATTGGTTAATTTGTTACAATTATAATTCATCCTATCCATTTTCCAAATTATCGTTTTGTTGGGGGAATGTTGTTGCGGAAGGGATCTTCTTTTTTTCCATAAATAGTGCCCAATCAATTTTTAATTTTAAAAATAGATTATGTAACGCTATCACATATATTTTCCAGTTTTACTTGTTCCAATATTCAAATATTCGGTTCTGTTTGGGCATCCCTACATCATTCCACTCTGAATAAGGCTCTATACTACCAGCACTGATGAGTAAGGAGTCATCATCTTTTCTGGTTCGGCTTTACCTACTCAATTTATTACGCCTGGGTGAGGTGCCCGGTATGGGATTTGAATCCGAGATTTTTTACCTGCGATGTTGGCTTAGTTAAGTTAAACGCTTTAACAACTAGGTCAATGGTCCCCAACCTTTTTCGTTAAATTCCTGCCTTTGTCTCTTTAGGAATGCTTTATTTCTTCATCAATATGCATGAAAACTGTTTATTCTTTAATGGTACCATGGTTATAGTTATGCGCAAGTCCAAGTCGCGCTCCCATTTTTGTGCAACAAAATCCTAACTTTGCACTAGGCCATATTGATTTTTCAGTACTCCTGTAGTACGCGAACCAAGATGGCAGACACCGGAAAATGGTATGTGTTCCAGGTTAGGGTTAGGCCATAGTTTCAGGTACAAATACTACTGGAGTCACTTGGCTAGTCCCCGAACTCGTAATAGAACTAAAATAAGGAAAATTGGAATAAAATTATGGCCTTTACCCTAACCTGGTACACATACCACGCTCTGGTGTCCGCCATCTTGGTTCGCATACTACAAGAGTACCGATTCTTTGTGCTTTACTGATCCAATTTTATATTGTTTTTTCATAACAATTTGTCTTTACAAACAGGTGGAGAGACTTGGAGCAAGTGCTTACAATACCAAAATCATTATTCAGAGGTCCAAGGTTACATGCTGTTATGGGATTCGATAAAGTTGTCGATGTTCTAAGTAAAAATCTGGCACCTCCTGATGTGAGTAGTTGCTAGGAATTCCTTTTTCATAGGGTATTGATGATAAATGACATTTGCTTCAAAAATTTTAATAAATATTGTGATGTAGGATAGGATTTTCATATTTATCCCAGGTGAAAAGACTAAGATCTTTTAAATGATCATATTAAATTTTCCGACTCCACGGTTCTGCTGTGGACCCATACAGCAGTGGTTTCTAACCTTTTTGGTGGACCGGAAACGAAATGTAAGGTTTCAGTCGCTTGCGTAACCCCTGTACAATAATGTAATTGTGTTTTATTGTCTTTATTGCATAAACTACAAGTGTACACAAAAGCAAACGAAATACTGCAAAAACAAAATGATCTTTAGGGTGTAACAAGTTAAATAATAGTGACAAACCTAATAATTATTTGATTATATTCAAACAATACACAAATATATATATAATAATATAGACTCAGAAATAATAGATGTTCATTTTTAATTGTAAAATATAATATATAATAATAATAAAATAGAAACTTGTATTTGAATGGAAACTTATGCACCTGTAGACTGTATTTGTAAAACACCGTTTGAAAACTGCTAACTACAGGGTGGATGCCTTACTCGATCTGTTTCAAATGCTTGCTATAACGTACCAAACGCTAACCACGTATTGTTATACGTCGCGAAACATCCTCACACTAATTCTCATATCTCTTGCTCACTTCTGTATTCATTCATAGGCGATTCAGAAATATTGTGCTGAGATTGAAACATCCGATATGAGACTAGAAATGGCTCAAAAGCTAAAATGCCACAAAGTTGTTATTGATGTAAGTATATAGTTGTCTTCCACTAAGAGTCTCCTGCTTTTCATCTTACTCTACATCAGGGGTCCCGAAGTGGAATGACCAGGGGTCAAAATTAGAGGGAAAAATATATTTGCTAGCTGGGAGAGGGAATCGCCTACAAGGTGTCTGTACCGACACATGCAATTAAAATGCCAGTATAATTGAATTGTTACGAATATACATGCGCTTAAACTGATATTGTCATAACAATTGGTGATATCTAGAATGCAAAAAGGTAAAAACACAAAGTGATAAACTATTTCACCTAAGTTCTGTGGGCCATATCAATCCGTTACGCAGGCTGTGATTGGCCCGCAGGCTGCGGTTTGGAAACTGCTCCACATTATAGTCTACGTATATTTTAAAATCTCTGCCTCAAGTAAGCTCTTGTCAAGCAGTCACTGGTGTATTTCAAGTTATTGGGAGCTACTATGTTTTGGGAAGACCAAAATAAACATTACTGGTTTGGTCTATGCATACTTTACTTAGAACACCAATGAGATGTTTGACAGTCAAAGCAGCTAAAAAGCGAGGCAGTCCCGTAATTCACATTGACAATTTATTGGTGGTGACAGAAAATTGTCTTGGTTTTAAATTACTTTGACCAATTGCTTTATAATTTTTAGTAGTTAGAGCAGGAGTTCCCAAGCTTTTTTCTGGACGACCCCAAAGACAACTTTCAAGTGTTCAGTGCGACCCAATAGGTCAATATATATATTTTTCATGAAACTTCAGAGCTTCTTTCACTGGACTTTTGAGTTTGGTCATGTGGTGGTATTAAGTAAAATAAGCTAAAACCTATACAAACCACAATAAAACCTACATTTTCAATAACAAAAGCATAGAGTGGTGCCTATGGGCCTGTTTTACAGTATGCCACGGTACAAACTGCTAAATTTAACATGGTTTGTCAAATCTTAGATGAGTTGTACATCCATCCTCTACCATACCTCGGCGACCCTACCTATTTATCACTCCGACCCAATTTGGGGTCGCGACCCCTGGTTTTGGAACCCCTGAGTTAGAGATAGTTGTTTTGTCCTACAATGCTGTAGTTAAACTCTTTCCGCATTGAACTCTGGAGTCTGTTGTAAAGTTTTTCTCTGCCATCTACCTCATTCATAGTTATTTTACTAAGGTTTCCTTATATTTTGCATTACTTTCTTACATTTCCAGACACTTGTATACCAGAAAGATCGACAAAGACTCATGTCCTATTTAAACTATATACCTGATACAAATCAACATATGAGACAATATTTGTTAAGTGAATCAAGGAAACCGGTAAGTTGATGAGACTTTTATTAGATTTTAAACATTTAGAAAATCAACACTAAACTCAGACCATGATAAGCTCTTTGTTTCACTTGACTCCTATTTTTGAAGTCTGATATCATTTTCTGGCGCTCCAGAAGTGTGTTACCAATAACGAGGTGACTAATTTTGTTCGCCTACTTTACGTCAATTTGTATAAAGGGACTGAAACCCATGGGAAGGGGCACAAGACAGTCCTCGAACTCGTAATAGACCCAAATAGCGAAAATTGGAATAAAATTATGGCCTAACCCTTACCTGGTACACACACTACGGGAGTACTGCCTTCCAAGAGTTCCAAAATTTGACTCTTAACTCATTGCCAAAATAAAAATTAACCAAATTTCGTCTGAATTTTGGATGCTAGTTGGCTACACATGATTGTGAATTTGGATAAAAATTTCAGCAGGTTCCCGGTCATTCAAAATAAAACGATGAAACCCAGCATAAGCAAGCTTTTGGTAATGTTGGTTTTCACCTTAAAAGTATTAAATTACAACTCTGTTTCCCTGCCAAGCAGTGTTCTTCCCTCTGGGATGATTTTACTACGCAATGCCGCGAGGGCACACCTCAGAAGGAAATATGCTCCCAGGTGTTTGAAATTATGATATTGTCTCGATCGCCAGCAAAAATACCAAACTCTTCCACCTTGCAATTACAGCATGTATGCGTTCCAACATAAAAAACACAAAATTCATTTTTTTTTCAGGAAACCAAATGGAAGAATTGATCTTTATCAGATAAATATCTCAGGTGCTGAGGAAGTTCCATTAGAAACAAAGTTATGTGATCTGCGAAACGATTTTAACAATTCAATTCTTTATTTTATTATTGCACAATTCACAATCATTTGTTTTGCCTATTTAATTATATCTAATCATGTTTTGTGGTTGTTTTTCAAATGCAAATCTCTACGATTTCCGAGTGTCTGTAGGGTGCAGATTGTTTCGGGATAGGTCTGTAAAAATTAATTAATGACATGTTGGACCATGTTTTTTTAAATATGCTTATGTATCGCTAATGCTGTGCTGACATTGGATGGCACCTGAATTTGACTTAAAGAGTTCTCGACTGTACTGGTTGTTGAAAAAAAACAGTAGTACCTACATACCTCGTTTGGGGCCTTAATTTTTTTCAGGCGATTTATGGTCAAATCCAATGGAATACCGCATTCTTCAAGTTTTTTCATTGGCCGATTGGTACTTATTTTAAAAAATCTTTGAATATAGATCTATGGATGGGAAACCATTAGGGCTGGGCGTTCTTGAATACCGAATCATTTCAGAATCAATTTTTTTTGTGGAATCAAATCTCAAACACTAAGAGATATGTATGTGACATTTTTAATTATAAGGGGTCTAATAAAAACAAATATTGAAAGGATTCACTCCGACGTTTGGCAGACTCAAAATACAAGATGGCAGCGATTCGAAATTCTGTCTGAACCGATTTGAATTATTCACCCTCCGATTCGAAGTGCCCAGCCCTAGTAACCATCCATTCCAAATTAATATAAGACTTTATTTCAACTCGGTGTGCAGTTAAATAGAGATGTTCTTCTCCTACCTCATACAATGTTATTGCACTGCTGATTATGGCAGTAATAGTATATACAGCAAATGCATCCACAATGCCTCGGGAAGCAAATGTTTATTTATCCCTTATTAGGTTTGGGGGCTAATATTAAAAATAAAAGGTTGTTTATCTGGGGATCCATTCTGTTGTGGGGCACTCTGCTTCAGGACTTTAAGTTTCATTGATTAATGGTTCCAACTAATCGATATCCATGATTTTTTTCTGTTTCTATACAGCTTTCACGCAAGATTTATATACTACACTGCTCCTGACTGTGCTATCCTTTCCGTATTCTTAGCATTAATTGCTTGCTACTAATTCAAATATATATCTGTGTCTTTATTTTATCAATACTAAGTAATGTTATGTCAAGGATTTCTCATTTATTTTGTAAGCGATGGAATGTTGAAGACATTTTGAATTTCACAACGTGAATCCGTTTATATCACAGGCTGCCAATGATAGATGATAACCTCAATTCTGTGACACCCTAGGGCAGGGGTGGCCAACCTTTCACATACCATGCGCCACGTTTTAAACATAATGTTTCAGATGCGCCGTAAATCTCTTGTATTCCCACGCCTAATGTCCGCTTCTTGTTGAAATTATATAAATTTATAATACACACACATATATGTATAGTTAACTCAAGGAAAATTCTCGTATCTACGCAAAAATTCGAGCAATTTACGATAAACAGATTACGATTGATTACGAAACAGGGGTCATTTTCAGCATGTTGTGGGTTGATTTATAATAAATTTTTTAGGCTTGGGCAATTCAACTGGTTGTTCAATAGTTATTGGGAGATATTTGGGAAGTCTGGGCAATGGAAAATCCATGTTTCAAGCTGATAATGACGATTTTCTATTTTTCCAGAAGTTCTAAATTTTTTACTTCAGTAGGGAAAAAATAGTAAATTTTACTAATTTTTGCTAAAAGTCTAGAATGAATGTCATAAAGTCCGTCCAAAAGCTAACGTCGATAATCGCCTGTTGTTTCTAATTCCAACAAGCCGTAAATGGGCGACGTGGAGTAAGGAGAATAGATTTTAGGTACAATCAAAAGTCACCATGTAAATCGCAAAAAAACGGCTTGGCGTGGAGAAGCCAAGTGCAATTAACAATTTTGGCATGAAAAGGGTTAAAGATGCAATGCGCCACCTCTAATCATGCAACGCGCCACGTTTGGCGCATGCGCCATAGGTTGGCCACCCCTGCCCTAGGGTTTCGCAAGTTTCCATTCTAACCTGAGAGTCTTTGTTAGATTTTGCCACTTCATTTAACTTGTTACACTTTATAGAGGTTCTGCAAAAGTTTGCAAGTTAATATACAGCAGAACAGCTATCTTGAGCAGTGGTGGGAATAGCAAAACAAATTAGAGCTAAGTTCTAATAATATACAAAAATTAGTAACCGGTAACCCTGTTGAGAGGTTGTTCAATAAAAAATCCATGCTGAAATACTCCATATTCATAAAGGATATTTGCAGAACAAACAATACCAGTACCAAATTTCAAAGTTTAGGATCAGATATTTTCATCAATTTCAGGTACAAATACTACAGGAGTCCCCGAACTCGTAATGTAACTAAAATAAGGAAAATTGGAAAAAAATTATGGCCTAACCCTAAACTGGTGCACATACTACGTTCCTGTGTCTGCCATCTTGGTTCACATACTTCGGAGTACCACATTTTATTACATCCATGGTGACATAGTGGAATGGGATTTGAACTCATAGAGTTTTTAACCCATGACGCGGTCATATCATAACCAAGTCCAACACATTAAACACTAAACCAGTGGTTCTTGAACTTTTTAAGCCGCGCCCCTTTTTTAGAATTTGCCAAGTCTCGGTCTCCATCTCAAAAGATAACTAGCTAACAATAAGCTACAAATAACAGATAGTAAGGCGAAAGTATGTTTTATTAGAAAAACACGCATGTAAATATCCGAAATGCAGAAATGTAAATATCCAAAATAAGGCAGGCAAAACCAATCTAACAAATATTTTTAATTAGCTTCCTCCTTTAAAGATTGTCCCAGCCACCCTAGTAGGGCGTGCCCCACCGTATGAGAATCACTGCATCAGATCATTGCGCCCACAAACAGGCTTTTGACTCTGTCATGTCTTCAAACAGAGGCATAGTGGCAAGATCATTTAGTCTTCCCCTGCAAGCGGGATGCGGCCCATTCGGGAAGTTTAGTTTCAAAACTCCAATTTGGCCCTTTATACCTGAGAGCATGTAGAAACATGACCATGTTTTCTGAAGTAGGATCAGGTAATGGGTATATACATTCCTCACAATCAGCTTTATAAGGTACAAATCCCTCATCTTCGAATTTTTTCTGCTGGATTAAGCTTGCTGTTGTTGGATCCTGTAACGTTAAAGTTTATTTTTTTAATCAGTAAAAAAATCACTCGAATGCAGAATATGATAAAAAGAACACAGTTTTACTCGGGAAAGGAAACTAAACCTGGCTATCGAGCAGCAACACCAATCTTATATCTGGTTTGAAAGTTTAGAACTTTGAAAATGCCAATATTGACGGCGAGTACCGTACCCAACTAACACAGCTAGAGATAGATAAATAGTACAAATTACATTAAAAAGTCGTAGAATTTGACATGGGTTGCAGGAAAATCTACAGACAATTTCAAGCTCCGTTTATCGTGGGTTTTTAAACTAATTTTGATTTGATTATATTTCAAATTTTCGATCACTGGAACTATATAGACTACTGCTTGGAAGACAAAACGTCCCTGTGTTGTTTGATTCATACCTGAATTTCATAGATATGTAAAGAGATATTTTGTGTAAAGAGACCAAGAATATTTATGGGATTGAGCCAGAGATGTACGCCAACACTTCAACTGCTATGCCATCGAAACCCTAGTTATAAAGTGAACCACACAAAGATAATCAAAAGCGAAAAATGATGCCGCAATTAGTTGACAGCTTTCATAGATCGTAGCTGATTGACTGTTTGTACCGGTTCTAGGAAAATTCGCCGTGGAAAATTTCGCCACACAGGAAAAATCGTTGCAAGAGCATATGATAAAAACAGGTTTTTGAATTACCCTTTTATTTGAAAAAGATTCGTTTTTTAAGAGCATACCCCACCTAACCCTATAAACCTAACTGTTTTATCACAAATACTGGGGCTCCCGAAGTATGCGAACCAAGATGGCGGACATCGGAATGTAATATGTTAGGGTTAGGCCATAATTTTAGCTATAAATACTACGGGAGGCTCTTGGCTAGTCTTCGAACTGATAATAGGACTAAAATAAGGAAAATTGGAAAAAAATTATCGCCTAACCCTAACCTGTTACCCATGTTACGTTCCAATGTCCGCCATCTTGGTTCGCATACTTCGGGAGCACCCAAATACTAGTTTTACAGAAAAGTGCTCTTGCAGCAAATTTTACGGACACGGTTTGTACCTGCCTTGTTCAGAGCACAATACATCAATGAGCGTCACATAAAAAAATTTCTGTTGCTAGTTTTTGTCAACTTACTTTATCATTTTTCGCTGGATTCTTTCTTCCTGATTTTAATTTTTCGTCTTCAGCCATAGTCTTATGAACACTTGACATTAAAACAAGCCATTTTTTTCTTTCTGATAATTCTGTTTTCACTTCACCTAAATTTTTATTGATCGGGCCGAGTGTGAAACGTTCATCTCCCCAGGCAGGACTGTTATAAATTTGATCATTCGATATCGGGTAGCCAAGATATTGTAAATGTACCCTGATTTGATGTGTTCTGCCTGCAATACAAATAAATCAAATTTACATTGGTGCATGCCTGATAAAAATGCAAATTCAGTAATATTGCTGTGAAGTCTTAGCTTGACATGTTTTGATCGATATTAGAGTTAGAGACAGTTTTCCAATCCTGATTGTGAATTTGCATTTTTTATTAAAATAAATTCAATGGAGGTTTTGGGCTCTGTTATTTTGGTCACTTCGCATAAGTATGCTACCCAATCCACTTTTCATGTTGAGGATAACGGAGTTTGCTCTAGGCGTCCACAACAAATTTTTTTTATATAAACGTTACCGGTTTTTGGTTTACAACTAAGTAAACTCGTTTTTCCATCCGTATGAAGGCATTCAATGTCAGTCACACATTCTTTAGCTTGGCTTCCGCGGCTCACCACTGAGGTTCCAATTTTTGGGTCAAATAGTTTTATAGGTTCGCTGATTGTAACAATGTTATTTTCAACTTTAATTCGATGATCGTTTTTGGGAGGTAATTTGAACTTGGAGAAATCACCGACTACATGACAGACATATTCTTTTTGCACCTAAAACAATTAGATTAGTTACAAGTTTTCATTAGTAGAGTACGTCTTTTTGTATTTTGGCAAAGTGTAAAGAACTGATTATCGTACGGTGCAGTGATTCTCAAAATAGACAACATCGAACCACTCTATGGGGCAAGAGAGATGCAATAGCGCATTCTCCAAAAGAAAAGTTAGAATGAATAGGAAGTCCATGCTTCCGAAAACAAATACCGTAACTGTCTAAGTAATTCCATATACGACATGTACTGGTAACGAGACAAGAGGCCGTGGTTCACCTTATAATTAAGCCGTCTTATCTCTTTCCTCGCGCCCAGGATAAATATGTAAATCCTATCATAGTTAACTAAGCCTTCTGAACAGTCTATTACAGAAGGTACAGACATACAAAGATTCAATATTATCAAAATTTGATTTCCTGGAAAATTAAGAGTCATAAATTTTAACAATCAGTAGTGAGGTACAAGAGTAAAAATTGTTTTAAACCCAGAGTAGGGGTTGAACAATATTGTGACCAAAGGTAAGCAGTAGGCCAAATAACGACCTTTCCCAGTACTTCCATTGATATCAAAAAAAGTTGTTACCTTTCTTTGTTTAAACTGGTCATGCAGTTTGTGAGCAAGTTGTTGAGTTTTAGCAAATAATAATAATCCAGACGTCATCCTATCAATTCTATGAATACTGAATAACTTTTTCATATTATATTCCTGAAAGGAAAGAAAAAGAATTTTGGGATTGCAAAGAAGGGTTGGGATATCAGAAAAATGAAAACAGTTATACATGTTTAATATTTTTTTTTTAAATTTTGTGCATATGTTTCTATTTGAATTTTAGAATATACCAAATTTGTTTAAAATGGCATTCGTAACATCCTATAAAAGGTTCATTGTGAAAACTAGCGGGCTGATCAATTTCAAATTTCCTTTCAATAGTCAGTAGTTTATTTTTTCCCATACCGAAAATCTGAAAATATACGGACAGTAAGTTAAAATAAAAACAATGTATTTCAGCGTGAAGGGAGACATGATAAACCAGCCATGGTTATCGAGCAGCGTCAAATAAGCAATAGCAATAAAAGAAGTCATTAGTAAGCTAACACTCGTGTGCTTTTCTTATTTGTCTACCAAGTTCTATGAGAGTGATATTTGACGCAAAATTTTGATGTTCTCAAAGGAAACACTTTTTATAACACATATATGGGAACACTTTTATTTGACCTTTATTTGACCTTCAAGACCAGACATGGGCAAACTACGACTCGTGGGCCAAATCTGGCCCTCTGCGTAGTTTAATCTGGCCCACCAGCAATTTTTGGCCCCTGGTCAGAAACCTGTGCCCAACTCTGTTCAAGGCTATAATATTTAAGCATTACTTTCTTGTTTTTATAAGGTAGTACCGTTATCATCGGAAAAATTCGGCGTAACTTACCTTCGCTAATATAGATATGATTGAATTGTACCGGAACCTTCCAGCAGGATGTATCGGGATACTACAAGGTTTGTTAATGACAAACCATTCTGAATCTTCTATAATTATTTCAAACTTTGCGTCAGTGACCGGACATTCATGTCTGTGAACTCTGAAATTAATAAAATAGATTTTTAAACACAATTTTATTAATTATATACTTTCTAATCCAGGGGTGTGCATCATTTTTTTCATGGGGCCATATAATCAACTTCAGACATCTAGCGGGGCCACACAAAAAAATTTGGTACTTCTGTAGTATGTGAACCAAGATGGCAGATACCGGAATGTAGTATGTGTATCAGGTTAGGGTTAGGCCATAATTTCAGGTACAAATACTACAGAAGTCAGTTGGCTGGCTAGTCCCCAAACTCGTAGTAGAACTAAAATAGGGAATGTTGGAATAAAATTATGGCCTAACCTGGTAAACATACTACGTGCCGTTGACCGCCATCTCGGTTCACATACTACGGGAGCACCAAAAATTTAGCGAGAAGGACAAGAGAATGAGGCTATCGCTTACAGTGATAAAGGCAACGGGTAAAACGATAAAGGTTTGAAGCAGCGACTAGAGCAAAATATCATGATGTATTTTTATCCATGTGAGCGCCTTTTTAAACACCAACTGTCGAATTAGGATTTTATGCTTGCATGGTGAAGGGCCACACTAAATGGCATGGCAGAACGGATTGTGGCCCGCCGGCCACCTGTTGCACACCCCTGTTCCAAGCAGTAAGAGGCTTTTTTACATCATCACTCTGAATGAGGGCTCTGCAGAAAAAGCTATCACCATGCAAAAAGCTATAATTTTTAGGACCTGTGACTCAATTGGACTTGGCATATGAGGACTCACATCAAACACTATTTTCAAATACTAATAAACCGCCATATCTAACTCACACACTCGTTAGAAGATCATTGCTCTTCAGTACATGATCCAGGCTTTCAATAGGTTCCAAATTAACCATAAGTCTTTTCTCTTCTATTGACTTTTCATAGAATTGAACAGGGTGTAAACGAAATTCTGATGTGTAAATTTCTCTAAGCGATTTTCCTTCCCATCTACCTGGAAAAATAAAACATCTTTTTCAAAACATTAACAACGCCAGCGCCTTATTTTTTAGAATACTTATCCTCATGAATATTTCTAAATGGGGACGTTGTATCCACGCATAAATTAATACAAATTTATAAAAAATGGATTTGGTAATGCAGAAAAGTTGTAATAAACAACATTCGATTTATTTTTAAACAGTCAGAATTTGAGTCAGTCTACATTTTGTTATGAGCATCAGATACTGGAGTGCTCAAAATGAGAATTATCGTTATAGGTGAATTCAGAAATTATTTAACTTTAACAAACAAAATTCCCCGAAAATAAGACTGGGTCTTATTTCAATTTTTTTTCAAAGAATAACACTAGGGCTTATTTCCGCGAGATGTCTTTTTTTCCATTTATCAAAAACAAAATTATAAAGTAGAGAATTACAAAATATGAAAATCGATATCCATTTACTTACAACTAACACGTTTTCCTCTTTCACACATATTAGATTAATCGTTGCTAACGATTAGGTCAAAAAAAATTTTTAATCGCTTATATTAACATCATTCATAAAATTCAGGTGGGGTCTTATTTTCGGGGAAACATGGTAGGTAAACCATTAAAAATCTACAACAAAGACAGAAAGGAAAAGGTCCAACTCACTTACCTTTACAAAACGTATCATACTTATGATCATATGGCACAACTTTTCGGAATCCATTTTCAAAATAATATTTTGTTTCAGTCATGGCGTCTTCCATTGTGACTTTTTGACGTTTATAGGTCATATGTAATTGTTTTTGTGAAGCACTGCGTTTTGCCTTGCGCTTACGAGCATTTCCATACTTAGGTTTGGTTTTGGAAATGTCTGTATTTTTTGAAGATGTGGCAGACGCCTGATCGTCCTTTTTCGCCTCCAAGTTGTCATCTGGAATATTCAATTGCTTATCGTTGATGTCACTATGTTCAGTTTGCAAGCTATTTTCATCATCTTTTTGTACTGTCGACGCAACACCCGAACTCATGGTGCGAATATGAAATGTACGAAACCTGGGGCCTTTAATTTGCGATAAATTCCTTGTTTTTATTAGACTCGCCCACAAACGAAACGGGCTTCTTCTATATTCCTTTTCTCTAGATAAATTAAATTCCAATAACTTCCGACTTTGGCGAAAGATTTCACGCGAAAAGAATTTCATTTGACAATGCAAAGAGCGAATGTCGTCTCGTGCAATAACTATACAGCTTGCATTCACACTCACTGTGGGCAGATGTGCCACATGCGGCTGCGGTATAGCAATGAGACATTCTTATGAGTATAGTATGAATGTATTATTAATGAATATGCAATTAATAAATAAATTGGTATATTTTTCAGTTTACATTGTGATTTTTGTCTCAAAACGGCGCAAAATATATCATTTTCTATGTTATAATGACGTAATATTTTAAAGTCAAAGGTTGAATTGCTGGACCGGAACCTTTACCATAGCAACAGATCCATACATTTTACTTTCAGTTGGAAGTTAGCTGCTTTTACATACGGTTCGCTCTTCATCTTTCCTTGTCAGAGTAAAATAAATATGGACGCCGAAGGACTTCATCTTTCAATGAATTATATTTCCAGTAGCGGAATAGTACTCAGTGCTGAACAGAAAGCGGCTCTTGAAACATCTATGGTGATTTTAAGAACAAATTATAAATTTCACAAAGTTTGGTTCTGGGGAAAGATTTTGGGAATAAAAGACGATTATTTTATCGCTCAAGGAGCTGGAAGAAATGAATTATCGAACAGAAAAACACTTTACAGGTATTTTTTCAAATTAATATTATCATGTTCAGTTATTCACTTACATATTTTAAACTCATTTTGCATTTGTAACCCGATTTTGATGCAGAGGTGATCATACTTTTGTGCTCGTTTAGGAAATGTCATTTTATTTTGGGGTCCATTGCAATTTATTTATTTGTTGTTCATTCTGAACAAGGCTCTGTCTGAGCAGTAACTTCTTTCAGTATTTGTAAAAAGCTATCGGAAGGTTGAAATATTTTTGGTGTGTCATTATCTAACCAATTTATTACACCCAGATTTTCTTGGTGGACGTGAGATTTGAACCCGAGATGTCCAACCTGCAAAGCCAACAATTAAGTCCATAACTTTAACCACTAAGTCATCAAACACACTATTATATTACAAATAACATTATATTCCAGCTTAAATTGTGTTGAATGGCATCTACTTCCTCCAGCGAGTGAAACAGCAATGACAAATTCAAAGATAATTCATGGAAGATTCCAGGGAGATCCGTCTTATGAATATGAACATACAGAAGTGAAAAGAGTTGGAGATGGAGAGGACTTTACAGAGGAAGAAGTTACAGTGAGTTCTTAGATACTTATGTTGGTGTTGAGGAAGCTTGAGTCGATGAATCGACTTGATAGACGATTGGTTCTCAAATGGGGGCCATGGCCCACCAAAGGGGCCACAGAGAAGTTGGAGGGGGTTCACAATGTTAGGCGCAAAACTAATTTTACTTTACAGAAACTCCTCGTACCTTCTAGTTTTATAGCTTGATAAGGTTATTTCACAACATATTTTTACTTAGTTGAGCATTAATTGTTTGAACATAATGAGATTTGGAATCTACCACGAGCCATAAAAGGTTGGGAAATACTGAGATAGACTAATTCACCAATAATCAAAGAATAGAAGAGACCCGAGCCATTGAAATAGAATTTCTCGGACTTGCCACCCGTTAACCGCCAGTGAGGCTTGACTCAACTTGGATGGTCTGTGAGGCCATAACCCATGACTCAACTTATGAAGAGATATGTGGAACTTCATATTTACTGATATGATGTTAATAATATCAGGTCTCCATGTGTTGAGATATTGGATATATGGTTATCAAATTTAGAAACATTTTAATGCAGTAGTATTCATGCAGTATAGAAGAGATTTGTTAATTTTTAATAACCTTCTATATTTTTCTTGCATCCTTTTCTTGAAAATTTTGCAGTATTTGGCACATCATTTTTTGTATTGATATCCTCAGGTTGTTAACATATTTTCATTTCGTAAGAGCTAAATTCAATGTATTTACCAAGTAATTTTGATTGGTATTATACAAATCCTTTTAAAATTTTCAGATTTTCAAATCTTCAATCTCTTGGAAAATACTAGGTAAATGTTTTAAATTAAGATTTTCTTCATCTGAAATTCTAGATTCATTTGAAAGAAGAGGATCGCCTTGCAGCAGTGATTTCATCAATAGATGAAGATGCAGCAATTGTACCTCGAGGTGCTTTTGTTAGGACTCCTCTTGGTGAAGTTCACACAAACAGAAGTTTTGAAGGTCGGTATCACTCTGAAATAGCTTATTCATGGAATAGCGTAATTGTAGCCAGTGCTGGGAGTTGCTCGAGTCTATGTGGGATGGCGTGAATAACTGCCATTTAGCTCAATGATTCGGATCGACTTAGACTTGAGACGCAGGGTTCAAGAACTGCTATCCAACACTTAAACTTGCCATCACATATAATACTATGTACCAACTTTCCAGTAGTCTTACTGTTTTCCTATCTATGGTTATCTACAGAAATCAAACCAATTCAGATAAATAAAATTCTATTATTTCAAATAATTTAATGAAATACGGATTTACAGAAAGTGTTATTTGCAGATATGACCAAAGATATAACATATTTCCTGCAAATTTTTAATAACCAAGATATAAAATACAATACTGAGTAATTTTTCGATCTTGCGGCTGTGAACCTCCTAGAGAATACATTTCATTTTACACTTTATTTATTACTGCAGGTCTTTCAGTGACTGAAGCAGGGAAACTGTCATCATATATGCATTTTCGTGAAGGGCAATACCACACAAAGAAAACTATCAAGGAAAAGGCAGATTTGGATCCTTCCATTGATTTCTTAGACTGCATTGAAGAGGACATACCAAGAGGTACATATATTGGTTAAAACGTCAGAAATACGAAACTCTAGTCACTCATCACCAAAGAAAATTGTAAGTAAGCTAAATTAAGCAACGCACTAAGAAACTCAGGACTGTGTCGCCAAACGCCACGACCTCGTCGTTATAATGACCATTTCTAGTAGCGAGAGATGGAGAGATAGCGACCCAACCAATCACTAATGAGTAACAAGATCTGTCGACATATCTGAGTCGCTTTTCTATAAATATATCAAATATTATTTAAAATACATTTACTATTTTTATATCATCAGGATCATGGAGCCTAAAATTTGAGCGTGGAAGTGGGCTGGTCTGCTTACGTAGCCTGATGTGGCTCGGACAAACGTTCTACCACGTTCCAGACTCAAGAAAATATGGCAGAGTATACGTTGGAACAGGAGAAAAGAATCTGGATATTCCATTCATGCTCTAATTCAATTTCCAGCTTTTAAATTTTATATTTTGTTCTTCTGTAAAAAGTCACTAAAAATTTTGTAATAATAAATATTAGCCGTATATTGTTGGATTGATGACTCAATTCATTCTGCATCAACAAGAAAAAAGATTGGGATTAGTATTTTCTTACATACGATGAAGTTCATAAACAGGCACGAGACAGACTTGTATATATGTGCATGACCTGAGATGATTGCATAATTTTTACCTAAAACAAATTATATCAGATAACATTCACATCTCCCAGATTAAATATGAGCAAAATAAGAGAGAAGTTTATGATTTCAATTTTGGTAAACTAAACGTGCAGTTCAGAATAGATATGACCAATGCAGTTGCTAAAAAATGAGCTGGAAATTAGAAATCAAAATGAAAGGTCAAAAAACAGTGGAACGATGATTAAAACCTTGGACCGAAACCAAGTCAAGTCAAGTTTATTTTTTCCAACCAGTAAATAAATAATAATAACAATTGAACACAGAAAATACAAGAAAAAAAAAGGAAAATTACAGTTTTACTGGATGAGGGAAGTCGCGAGGAACCAAAGATGGTTATCGAGAAGCGACAAAGCAAAGATCTCAGATTCAATGCCATTCTCACCAAGAGTGTAATGTGTTGGCTAGGCAATGCCAAACTACTTCAATCAGTAATTTATTCTATCACCATGCTGAAAGTACGAATTATACATTTACAAATTGAAGAAAATACAAAAAAAAATCGCATTCCAGAGTGAAAGTAGATGACGAAAACCAAAACTGGTTATCGAGCTGCGTCTAACAGTAACATGATAAATATAATAAAATCAAGTCCTTCCAAAAGTAATACATCTTTGCTACAAATATCACTGACTGCCTAGAACCTTATTTAGAGTAAAAGAGTATAGATACTCTAGGATGGAAAAAGTGGCTTTTCTGTTTAACATAGATTACTTTATATTAGGTTTTATATTTATTTATTTATATGTAATTTGCAATAGTTTACAACAAGTCTAAAGAGCAGACTCTTTGCAGATATGCTTATAAATATATTCACAGTGCTGTATAAATATGGTAGGTTGCATTCAGTAACCACTAAAATGAAGATACATGTAAATTTGCCTCGAAGGCCTGGGGACGATGATCAAGAGGTTAAAGCAGGGGTGTGCAACCTTTAATATAGGAGGGCCAGATACAAATAACCTCACCGCACCTTCATTTAGCATAGGCTTTCTTATAGACGCAGGCACAATACTTTGGGTTTTGTTCTTATGACAAAATAACTTTTAGGGCAATGCAACGTCATAGGCATAAATAATAAATTGGACTCAGGTACGATATAGGCTTTGCAAGACATAAGGATTGGAATTACTCAAACATACCAGATTACACTAAATTAACTCTTCCCGGGCCACTGTATGCACCAATCAAAATTGGCACTTCTCCGTGTGCCCAGAATGCACACCCTTGGGTTAAAGCATTAGACTTAACTGTGCAGACTTCACATCCCAGGTTTAAATCACTGTCCAGACCTTATCCAGGGTGTGATGAATTGGAATGCTGAAAAAACATATTAGTTCCTTACATATCGGCAGATATCTGCTTGCACAGGGCCATTTTTGGAGTGAGATGTGTGTGTAAACATCGCAAAAAATATGTAATCTGACAATCAAGAATCTCATATTGATTACAAATGTCGAAGCAACATTAATTTAAATAGGTGTAATTCAATGCCCGTAACTTTTTCTGAATTGATATATTGGAACAAACCATGAATTCAAAGATTGATTCAACGATGCAGTCTATGGGTTTTTCACAAAATGTTCAATCCATTTCAAAACTTGATTCTTCAGATGAAACTCTCCTTTTCTTCCCAGTATTAGAAGTATTTTCCATCCATTGACTACTCATATTCCGTGCTTTATATATTGGTTCGTATTCCTAAATTAAAATGACTGAATTATTTCAGGGATGTGACCTATTCACTCAATATACCGATAAATGCAAACACCAGTATTTTTGTAGTGTTGGGTGGAATATGTACTGTAAGTCACTGAGTTCATAGGTCAAGTTAAGTTACAGATCACAAAAGTTGAGTCAATCATTGACCAAAGTCTCACGGGCAGTTAGATAAAAGTCTTTGATAAATTGGAGGCTTTAGTCGAGTAACCTACTCAAGCCACCCAAACACTGCTTCTGCATAGGGATGACAGTTAATTTGGTCAGAATCGAATTGGGCTTGCAAAAGATATGGACAGATTCTACTGTCCAATTAACAGTTTGAGTTTTATTCTTTCCAATGTCCCATTTTCATTGTTTGGATTATACATTACAATTTATCAACATGAAGCACATGATAGATAGATGCATGTATATGTGTTTATTTGCTTCAAAAATGTAACAGTATCTGCATGATAATTGAACAGTATAACAGAGGCGGGATACATGTTCAAGACCATACTGACCTAAAACTGTTACTTAAAAAATGTTCTATTGAGAAACTCACCTGAAGCTGAGATCTGAATCCATAATTAGGAGCAATACAAAACCTTCTTCTTTTAACAATTTCAAATGCTTCTCTATGATTAAAATAAAAATGAGTCAGCATAAAATAGGTTAAATAAATAAGAATGCCGAGTCAGAATTAGTAATTTAAAAATTAGATGAATTTATATAAACAGTGTAGAAGGATAAGTACTGATGGAATATTGTAAGTACCACGGGCATGTGGCTGAACGCCCAAATTGCATAATAGTGTGTGATGATTGTGTGGTTGAAGCACGGGTGTAGCCAGGAGGCCTAAAGGGCCATGCCCCCCACCCTCCAGAATTTTTTTTTTTTTTTTTAACATTTTTTGTTTTAAATGCAATTTATTTGCAGTAAGACATAAATTCATATGCCTTTCCCAACACCATTTTGATCTATTCTCAAACGATTTACTGAAAACCGTATGGCTACGCTCTTCCTGGACTTTACTATGTTGTCATTACAAGATAAAAAATTGAAAAATTTCATATCTTTCAACCATAGTAGATCCCTACCTGGCAATGCCTGTTTGTACAGAGCCTTGTCTAGAGCGGAATGCGTTCAAAACATTACACGAAAAAGGTTTTATAACTGTTAGGAGTTAAGATATCCATCCATATATTCACAATAACTTTTTTCATGCTAAGTTAATTTGGAACTGAATAAATTATAAATCTCTTTTAACCCTTTTTGAAGACTTTAATTATTGAAATGGATTTCGAATTTCGCCTCTCAGGAGAATGGCTAATATCCAGCTACTGATACCAATCCAGCAATCCAATGCAAATATACTAATTGAAAATGAGGCCATTTGAATAATAAAGATAGTTCATAACCTGGTCATAGCCCTTTGAATTCATGTGATAAAAAAACAAAAAAATTCTTACTCATAGGAAATTGATCGTGTTTCCATTATGTAAGCGATGACTAGTGAGGCACTGGAAAAATAAATTCCTGAGATAAGACTGAATTGAAGTATGCACTGAAATTATTTATCCAAGTTGGTCAATATAATTTTTATATATCTCATATCTTTTTAACCATATTACGATTAGGTGTTCTGAATCAGGGTCAATTTAACTATGGCCAAGTCATTAAGTGTTAGACATGGATCAGGATGAAAACTCTCTGAAATATGACGTCAATATTCCACAGCGTCACCGCATTGTACATAAAACTATAATGTGTACACAATTAATTACACCTTGCGTGAGGTGGTTAATACGATTGTTAAACTATTTCGATCCTCCATTGAGTACACAAATGTCGAAATGAAACAATCTTGATCCTCCCAAACCGTGTGACCCCTTACCTACCAATGGCTGCTTGTTCAGAGCTTTGTTCAAAGCAAAAGTCATATGAATATACTATTTAATTCAAGAGCCCTGCTGCACACAAACACAGATGTATTTCTGTAACGCTTCGTCTGACCAGAGTCAGACTTCTTCAGACATGAATTTTTCAACCATGATAAGAAACGCGAATGCATGCACATAAATTATGGTTAGCAATTGTTGATTTGTTTTCAAATAGTGAGAGTTTCCAATTTGTTATCTATGACATGACTTTTATATATAAATTCTTAGTGTACAGCAAGACTCTCGAATCAAATAGCATGAACACTAATGCGAATCCACTTTCACAAAGGCATAGAGCAAGGAAAGGAAGTTAGTCTTGCATAACACCAATTGATATCCATATGAATATGTCATATAAAAAATGCAAATATCGGTTCAATACCTTCTTGACATTCCATTTACACCATGTATAAGAATCTTTCCTTTCGATTGCAAACATTCATTTATAAAATTTCTTGCTTCAGGTAATATAGATATGATACTTTCACATGGATGGTCCCTGAACTCTATAACTTTATATCTGAAAAATGTGTTGCATTGTATGATAAGAATCTATATGTAGGGCTGGGCATTTTCGAATACCTTCTGATTTCAGAATCGAATCGAATAATTTTTCGAATCGAATCTCGAATACTTGAAAATATATAGTTGTAAGCGATTTTATTATAGTAATTGGTCCTCTCAAAAAATATGAATTAGTGAAGACATAGAACAAATCACTCAGATAGATTACTGAGCGTTCACACAGAATAACAAACACGTTATATCAATAAGAAAATAGTCATATGTTAGAATTTCGTTAAAAAAATATGACTCCAATGAAAAAAAAATGGGGAATTCACCTTGAAGATTAGCGGAAAGATAAAAACAAGATGGTGGCGATTCGAAATTTAACTGTCAACCGATTCGAATAATTTACTATTCGATTCGAAATGCCCAGCCCTATCTATATGTCTATCTAGGAAAGACGCTGGAGAGATAAGTTAGCTCAATCAAATGGTTGCCTGTGACTTCGTCTCATAATTTACTGGCATAAAAGGCACCATCATAATTTCATATAGTTTTAGTACCTATTGTCATTTTAAGGGGAGCTTCAGAAGTATGTGTACCAATATGGAGGTAACTAATTTTGTTCGTCTGCTTTATATCAAGTTGTGTAAAGGAACTGAAACCTATGGGCAGAGGGTATATTCACTTGGCAAACACAGACAGTCCCCGAACTTAGACCCTTTAGTGGCCCATATCTCTGCTCAGTGATTAGTCTTCTTTCTGTCTTTACTTCTGAGTGTGAGTGAGTAACCTTGCTTTGAGCAAATTCTCTTACTAGTAAGTGAATAGATAATACAACAGTTAATCTTTCCAGGTGTATGGACTTTAATACAGTTTTCCTTTTGAAATGGAACACTTATTTTTTGTCTTGTTACAAATTCAGCTCCAAATATTAAGTAAATATTTCAGCTTTCCATTCACACACTGCCATTTTGGGTTAGAAAATGAAAAAAATATTCAAAAGCAAAATAAACCTGGCAATATTTTCACACAGTTTTTTTATTTAAAGGAATACAGTACATATAATCACTCAACAAATACAAGAATCCCGCTATTATTCTTAGACCAATCGTACCTACATGAATATATCTGGAAAGTTGACTTTTACGCATCTTGCTTCGACATCTTGCCGAACACATAAAATATGAGTGATGCCATCATTTCGAAGATTTTCAAGCTGAAAAAAAAAACGTTTCGTTCAGTTCTGTCTAGCGCATTGTCTGATTGTATCAAGAGTTAACTTGAGAGCATAATAAAGAAGAAACCAATGGTTAGGTATAACTGTAAGTGGTTACTTTTCCTCATACCATGGTTGGTCATATGTCATCTTGCTGACTTTACTCGTCCCAAAATAAATATGATCTATTTTACTTTTGCTAAACCACTACATTTATAATAAAAATTATGAAAAATTCCTTATAAATAGTAGGTCTTCACATTTCATAAAACACATACAACAAACTGACCCTCTTTACCTCAGATTTTGCAGCTGCCTGGTATGGTCCTAGATATACATTTGGAATGATTTCTTGTTTCTTTCTGCGCATGTCATATTGCCACGACTAAAAGAAAGACAAAATTTGTTTAGGCTAAATTGACTTAAATATCATAGGCCTAAGGCACAGTTACCTTGTTACTTATAACATTCCTATCCTATCCAGAACAATATGATAGTCTAATTAGTCTAGATATTGAAATAAGCGTAAATTCTAAACTTACAATGCACGGCAACTCGGAGTCCATCATGCAACTATACACTGTTTATGACTAAATGCGCGCAGTAACATCACTGAATCGCAAACGCTGTTGAAGCGAATATAAACAATAGGCTTGGTTTGCTTGCATACTACTTGCATACTACTTTATTACAGAGTGCATCGTGAGGAAACACAGCAACTCAAATCATATTATGAAAGTGTTCCCGTTTCTCATTTTTGCCCGGAACAAGGGTGTAGACAAGAACCTCCCAAATGATTATACGGAAATTTGATGTATTTGGGGAAGTGGATTGGAAAATTCAATATTATTATTGATGGAAAAAGTGTCTCGATTTTACTCTCATTGTGAGCACAGTAAAGAGACTTACAGAAACAGACGACACTCGAGAAAATAATTTACATCCAAATGATTATATGCAAGGTTGAGATAGTTGAATTTCTGTTGCTGAATTTTCAAATTTAACCCCTAATGTATTGGTGCAGTTTGTTTCCGTTAAACCCTCGCGAATCTAAATATTTTGTTCGTTTGTAATAATGGAAATAAATAATTTAAAATCATTCGCTTCCGATCTTTGAAATGGTTATTATTGACTCCGCCACCACTCGTCAACGTGTTCTGGTGTTCTCAACTCGCGCCTGCCATCTGCCGTAGTAGTAATTGATCAGTCGCCAGCTGTTTTGGAAGACTTCGCGTTCCCGTATTTCTCGCCTGTGTTGCATTATCATTCTCTGTGGTTGCATGATCTTGAATCCTTCTTGTTTCGAAGAACTTGTTTCTCCATTACTCAAAACAGATAACTTGACTACATATATTTTGTACTTCATAAAAACAGGTAATTATTTTGCTGTTTTCCTGATTCTGTAGGCCTAATCAGTTTTATTTTGTTTTCATCACTTTTTTTGTCGGAGTCAAAATAAATAAGCTAGGTATATACCGGTATATAAATTATTGACATAGTCTGACAGTAGATGTGGAGTAAGCTGAAAGGGGCATTTATTTTTCAAGATCACACAGTTCCAGTTCTTTTTTAATTTGATGAGAGTAAGTGGCATATAATAATCATATGAGCTTAATTAATTTAGGCTAATTAAAATAATATAATTAATTTTGAACTTGCCATGGTGCAAAAAATATGCAACACACAGACACTGAGCAGCATAGAACAAAACTTAAAAAAATGGCCACTGAAAACTTCAAATGACTGAATGCTGGAATGAGGTACAAATCCCCGAGACCTAAAGTACTGCATTGCAGAATTACGTTGTTACATATTTTCAATCTCATGAGCTTAGTTTACTTAAGTATAATCAACTGCTGAACTTTGTCACCTATCATAATCTTAGCGATATGGCTGGATCTTATGAAATTTTGAATTTGGTATCAAGTTGACCATGATGAAAAGCGAACTACTATTTTGTTCAAAAATGTACAAATACTTGTCACATGCTCATCTTTCTATTTCTTTTATTTTTAGATCCAAAACACACAAGCTTGCAATATGTGGAAAGCAGTAATTCTGATTGGTGGGCCGGACAAAGGAACTCGTTTTCGACCTTTGTCTCTCAACCAACCAAAACCTTTGTTTCCAGTCGCTGGCGTTCCGATGATTCAACACCACATTGAGGCCTGTGTCGCAGTCCCAAATCTACAGGAAATTATCCTGATTGGATTTTTTCCAGAAGATGAAAATCTAAAGAACTTTATAAATCATTGTCGTAAAGAGTTCAATATCAGTATACGTTATCTGAGAGAATTTTCACAAATGGGAACTGGGGGTGGATTGTATCATTTTAGGGATCAAATCATGGCGGGAAATCCATCTGGCATTTTTGTTATGAATTCGGACGTTTGTTGTAATTTTCCGTTATCAGAAATGCTCCAATTTCATTTGAAATATGCGTCACCGTCAAACGGCTCGACGATTTTAGCAACTAACGTCCCTTCAAAGGAATCAATGTTTTATGGATGCTTGGTTGAAAATGAGGAAACGAAAGAAGTTACACATTATGTTGAAAAACCAGAATCATTTGTGAGTCCTTTAATAAACTGTGGAGTGTATCTCTTTTCAACAAAAATATTCGGGATGCTTGCTGAAGCCGTTTTACGAAATCAAGAAGAAATGTACGCTCAAGGAGTATTTTCAGATTCCCTCTCACTCAGCCTTGAACAAGACATCATCATGCCGTTGACCGACTTAGGGTCGCTTTATGCATACCAAACAACTTCAATGTGGAGCCAAATAAAGTCTGCTGCATCCGCAGTGTATGCCAACAAGCTGTATCTGTCATTATATCATGAAACCCATCCTCATCGGCTCGCAAAAAGTGAGGAAGGAGGCCCGATGATTATCGGGGATGTTTTCATTCACCCTTCGGCTAAAATTGACCCCACTGCACTTCTGGGCCCCAATGTCACAATCTGTGCTGATGTACGCATCAGTGCTGGGGTCAGAGTTCGAAATTCTATCATTCTTAATGAGGTGAATTTGTCAAATCATAGCTGTGTGCTAAACAGCATCATTGGTTGGAAATCTACAATAGGGGAATGGACCAGAGTTGAAGGCACAGCACAACAACCAGACCCAAATGCTCCTTTTGCAAAAATAGTCAGTGGTAGTCTCTTCGACCATGAAGGAAAACTAAGCCCTTCCATAACTGTCCTGGGGGGTAACGTGAATGTTGAATCAGAAATTGTAGTTTTAAATGCAATTGTACTTCCAGGAAAGGATTTGAAATCATGCACAAAGAATCAAATTATCTTATAAGACATTCATAGATTATCTATGAGAACTCGGAATGATTTATTGTTCTTGAAGCCAAGTTTATTTTTCTGTGCACATATCACATAGTTTTATTACCTACCTGTATATGTAGTTATATATTCTTTAGCAATTGTAAAAAAAAATAATGAAATATATTTCCTTAGAATTCTCCCCAATCATACAGAACTATGTATTTATAGTAAAATTTAAAATTGTATTATTTTTTTCAAGCCCATATTTTGATACTGAAGAACTTATTATTTCGTATTTACAAACCCTTCATAAAATCTCCAACAGTCCCTTGGGCAAGGTTTTTGTACCAGGGGCCAAAGATTTTGCCCACTTAGACTGACGGGCCATGTAAGCGTGACATGAAAATTTACATTTTATAGACAATATTCGTAGTGTCACAAAAGCAAAAGTCTGAAACAATGAGCCTCGTGCCAAAACTAAATTATATTGCAATCTTATCAAATTCCTTGAGCTATTTTTTAGCTAGAACATTAAAATTTGGTTTTAGTTATGGCAGCATCAGACGAGCAAGATTGAATTACGTAACGAGCCAGATTTGCCCTACAGGCCGTTGGTTGCTTTTGTCTGCTCCAGACTGATACTAAATATTATATATGCTCTCTCATTGCAATGTGTGTTCCTGAGTATTGTGGTCAAATATTATTGGTTCGGTTGGCATATCGTTTGTCGTCATATCATATGTTTTGTGTTCACCGTATGACTTCAGTTTCGTATTGCTTACGTCAAATTATTATTTTAGCCATATTTTATTTTTTGTGGCCTTGCTTGCTTTGCACCTTATGACTTCAGTTTTATAACACTTGGTTCACTGTTCCTCATTTCCAAATTATATCTTCAGAACTTTCGTGTAGCCCTTAGCAGGTACTTTTGTGTAAGTTAGTTGGCCTGGACCATATTAATATAAAGCTGCTGCCAGAGGTTTGGCAAACTTTAATTGTATTGGTGAATTGAATCTTCAAAGTATATCAATTTAGTGATGGATCAGTAATCAAAAGCACAGGAAGTACCTGGGGCTGTATTTGTAGTGGTTAAATTGAATATGCTGACTAGTCATCCTTTTCCGAAGAGCTGCTTGCTTCTCTATATTTATTCAAACTGATTGTGTAATTCGTATGCAGCTCATTTGTTGCACCCTAAATAGGAAAATTGTGACTAAATTTTTACTTTCTAGTTGCGACTTGGTATAAACTTTTCCATTTAAACAATGATAAAGTCCATGTGATAAAAACACTGTAATAAGGTGATCTGAAACTTCAACACTTTTACAAACTGTACGTGAAATACCACACTATCTATATTCTTCATTTCTTTTTTATCCGTCATTTTTATTTTATTTTATATGTATTGTAGAAATAGTGCAGTTACTTTAGCTGGATATATAGGACCATAATAAATTTTTTCTTCAAAGAAGTGATAGTGTGTATTCATATGAAGGTAGGGCGCTTGGAAGTGTGTTTACCAATGTGTGGGTAACTAATTTTGTTCGCATAGTTTACATCAAGCTGTGTAAAGGGACTGAAACCTATGGGCAGGGGGTTTATTCACTTGGCAGTCCCTGAACTCGTAATGGAACTAATAAAATAAGGAAAATTAGAATAACATTGTGGCCTAACCCTAACCTGGTACAAACACTACGAGACTACCAAAGGAAGAACAATATTAGACTGTATGCTGTTTTGATTTCTTAATTGCATAGAAGGCCTCGGCCAAACTATCATGCATGATTAAAGTAATGAAAGTTCACAATGAAAGTTCACTCACTCCATTCAGAAATGGCTTGAACTGTATTTTTCCCAGCTTGCCATTTTGACTAAGACAATAGTTTTCATGTGACATTCTGCATTACAAAATATTACACAGCACTTTTCAATAAACAGTATTTTAATAAAATTTAAACATAAGCAAGATGTGGATATTCAGCCAAACTAAGTTGATCTTTCTTTACTGTAAACATTTACAAATTGGTTACATTAGCCATAAATGATCTATTTCATTGATATCGATACCATCTTTACTATTTATGTAAAAAACACTGGCGAATATTATTGAGTTCCGAACATAACTAAAACAGAATGATACTGAACTTGGTGGAAATTTATGTCAACATAAATATACCAGTCAAGTGGTAACACTTGCTTAGTTTGAATAGACTTGAAATTTGATTATTAATTAAACATCGTATTTGTATTTTTTTTCCTGGGTTTTTACCCCATATTCTGCCCCTCACAACTCAGTGGAGATACATAAAACATACCAGTCAGGTGGTAACACTATTACTTCGTTTGAATATCAACTATTTAATTATAATTATTAAACATCGTCTATTTTCTTCTGGGTTGTCTCATATTCTGCCCATCACATACACAGGATCAACAAGGCGCCTCCGAGAATGGTTTGGGTTTTCAACTGCACGAGAGGCGTCTTGGGCAGCTTGCCGTTTTAGTTTCTCAGCCTCTGGACTACCATCGGGATAAACCATTTCTTTTGGCATAAACCTTGCAAGCCATTGCAGTGTTTTTCCATCGGGTCTATTTGTAAGTGCACTAAGTCTCTCCCTTTCGCTGAGTTTTTCGTATTCATATACTGGTTCTTTCATTTTTAACACATGATGAAAAGTGTTCTTTACAGTAAAATCCCATTTGCATTGAAAAAATCGTAAAGATACTGGAGTTATTTGAGCACTGTGTTTATTATAAAACTCAAAAGTTGAAAAATCACGTTCTCGTAGTAAAGTACATGGCGCTTCTCTTTGTTCTGAAATAAAATCAATTTTGTCAGACTGTTCGAACAGTACGAAAATCATGCGTTGATAACCCGTGCCGCGAGCTGGAATGGGTTGTAAATAATCGACTATAGTATTCCCTTTCAACACATCACCTTCTGGAATATTCCCAACAAGCCAGTGGACATATTCTTTATCATTGTCCTCTAAATGCTCATCTGGGTTAGTCAGGAGCAATGTGTACAATTTATCAGCTTTTGGTTGAAATGTAATCGTAGGAGCAGACGCGACTTCACTTGGCAGCAACTCGTTACCGTAAAACACAGGATTTGAAAGTTCATTTTCACATTCGTAATCCACATCCATATGTAAAACAGGATGAAAATCACAATCCTTGAAAAGATCTTTATAAATATTATAGTAATGTGCAATTTCTTTAATATGACGAATCCCGATATTACTTTTCTCCCATTCACAAAGAATTTCATCACAATCTAGTATTAGAGTTCTTTCTCTCGCTGCCTTTTCCAACTCAGGGTCGATTTTATTTTTACTCCTGATTTTATAACCCCTTTTTTCTTTCAGCAGTTCATGTCCAATATCATTCAGTTTATCATTCATTCCTTCCTGTTCTTTTATCCAGTAATCCAGTGTTTTCCACCACACTCCCTCATCTCTTTGTTTTCTCCGTTCACGCTCCGCAGTTTCCAAATATCGTTTAATGCTTCTGTAAGTCGGAAGATCAGGCCTGTTCCTGTATTGTGCATTGGGGTCTGGTCCTTCAGCCTGTTTGAACAACCTCATATAAGTAATCTTGTTAAATCCAGAGATCTTTGGTTTTGCTTTTCTAGCAATAGCAAGTTTGACTCGCTGACGTTCCAAGTCTTCTTCTGTAACATTGGATGGATGTTTATCAATTCGAATATTCTCTGGATTATTCTTGTATCCACTGATGAAGCGAAATGAATTTTGAAAATACACGTACGATTGAATGTGACGGCTATTTTGTAACAACATGTTGTTGTTTTATTTTTGTAAAATTCATAGAATCTAAATACAGAAATGAGGGTTGATACAGTAAATATATTTATATATGAATATAAAAGCTATGAAAAAAAGAGAGAAATGAGGCATATCCAGTCTCAGAAGAGCAGAAATCGCATCAGAGTGTATTTTAGTCATAGTGGTAAAAATATTATGCAGTACTCTTACTCTTTTCAAATTTAATATGATTGATTGTTTTCTTAACTTGGGAAATCAAAGTAAATTAATGTCAGTTATATCTTCAATGTGTACCTTTGCCATGAAATGAAACATTTCTGCTAAGTAATCACATATATCAGTATAAATTATTTGAATTTGTTCAGTGTAATTATCTGTGGAATCTCTTTAAATTTTGGGATCTAGTATAGTTTAGTACCACAAGTACCGTACTTGTGGTAGGCGTAGCATAACAAATTTTGTATGTGTTATTCCTAACCCCCACCTGACTATGTCATCCAAAATTACGTCACAATCACGTTACAGAGATGGCAAGTATAGCTATCATCGTCCGAGATGGCATCTGCGCCGACGATACCGAACTCACGAACGCCAGCGGTCTCTCATACCATCGGTACACTTTGGAGGTATTCTTTACGCTATTGTGGCGTCGTAATGAAGTAATTTTTCGGTGACATAGTCATGTGGGGGTTAGGATTAACACATATGCGACACATATTAGGAATAACACATATGCGACACATATTAGGAATAACACATATGCGAACGAAAGACTAATACAGAGGTAATCGGTAGTTTATTTTAGCACCATATTAGAAATACACACTGTGCATACAGAACGAGGTAAGAGGAGAAAAAAATGCATTACTGGCAGCGGTGACACATATGAAAAGTCTAACATTGAGGTCATACAAGAGTAAAAAGACAAAGTGAAAAATCTAATTAAAGTGAAGAGACGAACGCTAAAATATTAACATTGTTTCTGGCATAAGTATGTTTGAGGGTAACAGTAATGTAACTGGGGCCGGATAACGCAAGCTGAGTTGCAAAGCTTGAGGGATGCATGGTTCTGTGGTTTCTGAAGGCTGGTGACGAATTGATACATGAAGAAAATAGGAATAAAATGTATCTATATTAAAAGGCCACTAAACCAGGTAATTACAGTAAGTTACAAATACTAAATTCTTGCAGAACATACAGTCATAAAAGTCACTGATTTACAGAAATTTGAGGCCACAACGGTTCTGTATTGCAATCAGGCAATTCATGCAGAATATAGAAGTCACAACTGTTCAATAAGGAAGTTCACACAGAATTTGAAAGTCACTAAATTATGTAGTCACACAATACTAAAATAAGGCAATTCGTGCAGAATATAGAAGTCACTCAATTATAGAATTTTAAGTCACCATGGTACAAAACTACAATGAGGCAATTTGTGCAGAAAATAGAAAAGTAAGCATATTACAAATATTTAAATAAAATGAACTAATAATATGAAACGGGTCAGTATGACACAACACTGTTATGGTGAAATAACAAGGGTATAAAAACAACAGTTGCAATAGCTGATTAACAATATCCCTTACTTACAACATAAGATTATTCTATCAAAACTACTAGAACTAGGATTTTGGCATATGCTGCCTCAGATTTTGTAACATTTGGTTTGTAGCACATAACTGTACCTCCACAGTCCACAGTTATGTTATGAGTTAGTCGGTATAGTAGCTATATACATCAATAAAAGTATTTCAAGACGTTGTTGAAAAAATCGCCAAATTTACATTGATAGTTCCATTTATTAAAAATTCATAAAATATTCATTCCACATGATTTGGACTCAAGAGCTGTGGATCAAGTCGAGTAAACTCATTGTATGAACAAGTAAATGCTACAGGAGTCACTTTGCAAATTCAACTACACTGGTAGGCGGAAATAATGAGTTTTTTATATTTTACTTTGAATGTGGCATAAACGCACAAAACATACGTGCAGGCATACTGCGCAGGGCCGCCATTAATATATTGAAGATGAGTAAAACGCTCTCAACCAGAAGCTTACGTTACAACTTTAGCTTCAGGATCATACACTTTAAATATTACATGATTTTTTTTAGATTCATATATAGAGTCCATCCCAATAAATATTCGAAGAGCCAAAATATAATATTTTAGCTACCGAGCACAAGTAAAATGTTTTGGTTGCAAATTGATTTAATGGTGACTGAAATTGTTGGGTGTGTTTTGGTTGCAAATTGATTTAATGGTGACTGAAATTGTTGGAGCGAAGATTAAAAAAATAATATCATTTTGATAATTCAATGTTTAGTTATTTTAGTAGTAATATAAATTGGTATGTACGTCTAGTTGCAAGGGATTTTTTCCGAGAGCAGGAGGCGCACAAAGTGCTTTGGTGCTTCATGCCATAATTAGCCCATCCTTATTCTAGGTGATGATTTTATACAGATGACCCTCAAAATGTATCCAACTCTAAACTGGAAGTGAATGTACCGAAAGAGGAAAAGTTGCAATTGGCCAGATGAAGCAACCAAGACGGATATACATTCACTTCTTCGTAAGATAGTAATATAGTTCTTTCGCTATGGGTGTAGGTACGCCACGGAGGTATCTCTCTCTGTCTACGTCAAGTAGAGGTTTTATATTGAATATATCCCCAAATGCATCAGTGACCATTTCAGGTGAATTTGGATACGTTGGCGGTTTCGGATCCATATATCCATTGAAATCAAACGCGCATAACAGATATCTGACGTCACTTGTCGTCGTTTTGTTCATGACATCAGCATACTTTTTTCTCTCCTCTGGTTTTATTGCGATTACGCTCCCGTAGTCAAAAACTGCGTCGCATTTCTCGAATGCTGAATCTGGTAGATTGAAAATGTCCCCAGCGTACAATGTGATATTACAGCCCTCAGTTGTCGACTGCAGCACCTAAAATAGAGTCATAAAATGATTGTCAAGAAATGTAGCTATTCGACTTATTTCTTACGCATAACTTGTCGAATCTCGTTCCTACGTTCAGACGTTGGTCATGAAACTCATTTCATTCCCAGCAATGAATTTTGAAATATCGGTGTGGTGATATCGAATCGATACCGGTATATCTTAATGCATGTTATCGCCATTCAAATTTTTGAATTAAGGAACAGTGTTAACTCTAAGGAAATTATGAGTGCGAAAGTGCTTCGCAGTCGAAAAAAAAAGTGCGAAAGTGCTTTTTCTGATTTTAACTAGTTAGGTGCCCTAGCTTTCGTTTAAACTCATTTCAAACAGCATAGATACTCGAAAAAGCGCTCCCTCCCTTAATATTGTAAATTGAAGTCTTTCCGTTAACGGAGTTTCGTTTAAACTCTTGTTAAAAACAAGCGAATTCATCAAAGGACACCTGATAAGCACACTTGTCGGGAATAAAAGTTTCGTGCAATCAACCACCAGCGTCAGTAACGAAGCGCACTCCCGCCTGAACAGACAAGCCTTGCAAACTTGTTTCTTCCATCTAACAGACACCGATTGATACATGCAGATATTAGTTACTACCGGCCATAGCTAGGGAGGGGGATCATTTGTACAAAACACGGGCAAAATGACATCCCCATGACCCATCACTAATATCGCTTTAGTATAACACGCTTCCTCGTCCGAAAGAATATGCTTGAAAGTAGTCCGCCCTCTTCCCTTTTAAGAGATTGGTTAACGTCATGTTTCTCCGGCCAGTTTTTCTTTGGGAAATAACGCAAGATCACCATGAAAGTACCGCTGTTTTTATAGATAGAGTGACCTACTTTCTATCGAAGATTTTTTTTCCGAAATATTATGCAAGATCACTTTGAAATCCCTTTCATGAGCTAGCTTGGCCTAATTTATATTATACTGTCTCAAAGACCTGTAATTTTCAAATATCGACTTGCATTGGTTTGCGTGCCAGTGAGTTCAAATCGGGTAGAAAACATCATATATTTGCAATTTTTTTTAGAAATGCCATGTACTTCCAGCATTTATAAATAACGCTCTCTCTAATGCTGCAGACCTAGTATGAAATATTCGCATCTCAACGCCACTTTCAATTACACTAATAGTAATGATGACACCAAAGAGTTTTCCTTTGCGAAGGTACAGGAAATACAACAGGGTGATTCTTGAAAAAAACATGAATTTAAAAAATAAACGAATGACATGATAGTGGTTCCCAAATAATTTTGAGTGGACGCGAAATACCAATCCATTTGATAAATCTTTTTTAGTCGACCACGTGAACGCCGAAATCCTGGAAATTAAAGTTGAAAGAGAAGTACGCATTCTCACATAAATAATCGCGATATATAATCGTTCATGTGCACAAATCTCACATGTAGCATCGGTTAGTTGTGCATGAAATGTAAATCTCTTATGTGTGTGCGTTTCAATTTCAATAAAATCAAATTCGTTTTTCCATGCACCATTACTTGTAATTTTAATATTAATTGCGTTCCGAATTTGTAAAGTTTAGAAACCTCTTGTATATACCATTACCACTATTTTGATTGGCTAAAGAAAGATAACACGTAACCGCTTTTCGGCAACATGGTATTCGTTTTATATCTGCCTTGAACAGAGATGTGCCCTCTCAGTCATCTGATCACAATCGAAAATCCGTATTCATTTTTTTCGCGATTTCGGCAATCGTTATTATTAAGGGTTTTCGTCGACTGAAAAATAAACATCGTTCTGTTGATTATATATTTCAGGCCATGTTCTTTATATCCTGCCATAATTAGCAAATCTTTATTAAGCAACCCATGATTATAAAATAGCTTTGCTTATCATTTGCTGCTGAATCTTGTGCTATCGCTTGTCAATTATAGCAGAGACGTAAGGAACATACTTAAAAAAAATTTAAAATTTTAAAATTAAACATATTAAAAATGTTTATAAAGAAATTAGCCACGTTATCAGCGCCAACTAACAGAAAATAACTTATCATAAATCACAATTAAAATTCAGTCGGTAATAAATGGCGCTAAGGTGATGCCATACAGAACAAAAAGATTTGGTCGCGAGAGTTACCTTAGATGACCGTATAACGATGTTGTTTTATAAGCGGAAGGTAGAACAATCAAATTTAATAATAAAAAAACGGTGGTTACGACACCCGTAACACATCAAGTTCATTAGACATCTCTAAAGACTTCTAAGTTGGTTACTCGATTACACTATACTATCAATATTACACCTGTTTGAGTATTCCGGACAATTTCGAATTTGAAATAAACGAAAACTCAACATATCATAATTAATACACAAAAGTAAAATAAACATTCATCGAAAAAGTTATTATTTAAGAACAACAACATAATCGTATAATTCCGCCCAAACCCCGATGTTCGCAAGTGAGATGATAAATAAATACTTTCCGTGTATTCGATAAATCAACTTCTGCAAACAGTCTTGGTGCAAAATATTTCCATCCAGTGCTATGCTTACAAATATTCTTTGCGTTAATATCATAACCTCGCCTATAGGACTGGGCAAAATATTCGTATCGTTTCAATTTCATACTTTGCGCCAAAAAAGGTACCAACAAAGCTTCCTAATTTTAGAAGAGTCAAAATAAATAGACTATTCGAAATAAATATCCCAGATTTCAAAGTCCGTTTATTGGCAGCATGAATTAGCCGTTTCATGTAGGAGCCGCACATACAATTGATTGTCGAAAATTAAAAGTTAAATTGACGTTCCGAGAGCCCACACAAGGTATAACATGTACAGGCTATAACTAGAAAAAAATGACAAGTCATAATCCTTTTAATGTGCTTTCAATTAGCTCGTTAGTGATCCCTCCCATCCTTGGCCAAGTAATGTTTCGAAAATGTGAACCTTCCACTCAGCCATGCATGGCGGGTGGAGTGTTGAAATCGTGAACAAGAGTATAACGTAAAATCAATCGTGAATTTCGATGTAACAACGCACACTGTCGCCGTCATGAATTGCGCCTAGTAACATCGGAAATGATTAAATTCGTGATATTTTGAGTATTTTTGCACCAATAATTAGGGCGTGATTATCAAAATGGTGAATTTGCAAATTCCGTAAATAAAATTGTAACATTTTAGCTAGAATTATCACCGGGCAGGGGCGCAGCCAGGATTTTTTCAACGGGAGATTAGGGGGAAGTTAAAACATTACACCAAAACTGCAATTCGCGACGACGTAATGCGTTTATAACTAAAATGTAAGGTCGTTCACGGCGAAATTTCGCAGTTACGTGTAGCCCGCCTTTCTTTGCCCAACGGTCCGAAGTCCTATTTTTAAACATCGACCATTTATCCGTAGTCAGCGGGCATCCGCATCTAGAAATGAAACATTAAAAATCGCGAAAATTAAATTTGGAGAGATCTATAACTCGCAGATGTCAGTAGTGTCATCATGGTTTATATGTACAAAAACACGCTCGCATGTAGCGACGATCAAAATCATGAAAATGTGAAACTATTACTTGAGAATTATTGTTAATAAAGTTAAATTTTTATTGCCATTCAATGATTATTTCATAATTTTGTCATAATCGAAGGCTGCAGTAAATTTTTACCGTCCCGAGTTTAAGCGAACAATAATATTATTACTGACCCCGGGATGCGATATTTGTGAAGCAGATAGTTGACATTTCTATGCTTTTAATTTTATATCGTGTCTGTGTTACTTTCGTATTAAATAATAATTGAAAAACTCCGCAAATTGGTTATCTCTTGAGTACTCAGTGTTAAGTATTTACGTAACTCAGCTTTGGGTTAAAACACTGATAGTAACTAAACACGTGAATAAATCGGCAATAATGGCATTTCGACATGGTCAAAATAATATTACTCACCAATATCTCATGAAAGTTCCATAAAATACATTATTTACTTGTCTTACTTATCGACGTTTCTAAATTTACAAAAACGATGTTGACACGCTTTATACAAAATCGTTTCAAATTTATTGTTTCTACATGTTAGCGATAGCCGTCTGGTTAATTCTTACCCGTAACTCATTGTAAAGTAATGTTAATAAATTGTGTTTTGCTTTCCAATGCGCGGTTAACCGCGGTTAAATTCGTTCGTTTTCCGGAATTGCAATCAACAATTACACATTTTTTATTTATCATTATCAGTACCGAATAAAAAAGATAACATATCGTGAAGATGAAAAAAGTCGTTGAAACTTGAGTTGAATTAGTTGCAATTAGCGCCTGATTAGGCACCAGAGCACTCGAGCCCAATGTTTTTAGCATTAGTCGCATATGTAAAATATCCTTAAGAAGTGCTGTTTATTAAAGTCATCCCGTCTTATGGCCACGCAGAAATGCCTTTATTGCCGAATTATTTAATCACCAGTTTAAATCAACATTCAGGATTGGCACAATCTCAGATTTGCGAGATTTATCTGTAAATTAATACAGACACCATAAAAAATTATAAAAGTTAATTATCGTATTAAATATTTGCATTCCGGCATCGATAATAATGATACCATTCGCTTAAAATTGGGACAGTAAATTTACAAACGTTGATAGGTAATATCAAGTCAACGCAAATGTTTATTTTGGTTTTGAAATTTGTCGTTGATGCCCTTAACAGCTGTTGCCGATGTGAACGCACGCGTAAGCCTGGATTGCCAAACCCAGGATATAGTGGCCAAAACGATTGCGGTGACAAAAACAATTAGCTATTATAACGAAATTAACCAGTAGAAAAGGCTTCCTTGCTAATTTTTCGACCGACGTTCTAGACTCCTGCTGTGCATAAAAAATATTCCTTATTCGTTAAAAATATTCAATTCGAAAAAATATTCGATTTTGCCCACCCCTACCCACCCCTAATAATGAGGAAATAGTTTAGATTGATTTTTGACTCTGGTCTGAGTTTGATTTATCGTGAATGACTAGACTAGCTAATACTGAATATCGCAAAATTCCGCGAAACGCCATTTGCTTTTAACATTCGTGGTTACAATAAAATGGCTGTTAAATGTTAATACTACGTATGTATTTTGTCAATTTGGCGATTTTGCAAATCTGTGAGATGCTGCTAAAAGTTTCTTCTAATTTAACAAACAATGGCCCAAGTTTACATTCCATTACTAAACAATGTCGTGTCGAGTATCAGAAATTTCTGAATGGCTCCAGTAAATTCACTAAGAAGAGAACACAGACCTGTCAAACCAGTACTAGAAAATCGTGTACTTTGGTCACAATTCATCGATGTCATTGACAGTCACATGACCACTCTCGTTTAGAGAAACGCACTGCCTTGCTATCGGACATCTGGTTTCAAAGACGCCGCCGAGCGTTTTCGCGGTCGAAGCGGAATCGGTGTGCTCGTATAATAATCATATTATAAACAAGAATTTTGCCATTAACGCAAAAGCTTTATCTTCCATGTCTTCACCACATAGGTTAGAATTCCGGTAAATATCGTTATGATATGCAGAATTGAGTTACAAAAGTACTAGTATGTTACTTATTTGTCAACTTAATACGCACACAAAAACATTTGTCAACTTTGAATTTTTATTCCATTCAAAATCGAAAAAAAGTGCTATTTCTCTTCAAAATCGGAAAAAAGTGCTATTTCGCAGTCCCTAAAAAAAGTTGCGAAAGTGCTTCGCAATTTTCGCAAAAAAGTGCGCTAATAGTGAACACTGTTAAGGAATATTTTTTATAAATTGTAATTCGCAGTACTTCATTTCAATCAGGTATACTTCACTTATACGCCAATTTTCATGACCTTGGGACAAGTAGGACACTGTTAGCTCGATGACAACCTAAACTATAAAACAATCAAACAAAACACTTATTTAATTTTAAATAATTTCATCGTATAGTGTTCGTCGTAAAACTTGTCATTTTTTTAAATTGTATTTTTATTTATCAGGTATGCTATACTTAAGCAAAGCTTACCTTGTGTAATAATACTCAAGGGGCAATGCTAAAATATAAGACAAAAATGAAAAAGCAACTTTATGGGGTCTTGATCGACTCAGAGTCAGTTTGAACAAAATAAAAGTAATATTCTCTAATGGCTTCATCCATTTTTGTATTTTTCACAACAACATTGTAGCAAAACAAGCCATACCAGAGGACACTTCGTGTACAGACTACACGACCCCAACAGCAACTTACCTGGCAACTACTTTCTTGCCTCTCGACATATGTTATGCCATGTTCATTGAAGAAATCTTCCAACGGTTTCGCGGAGCAATCCACGCCAATGACGGCATGCCCTTTGTCAGCTACCCATTTCATATCATACGACTTCCCACATAGTGGAAAAAGCACACGGTATTTCTTATTTGGTATGGGAAAAAGCATTTTTTCGAGCTTTAACAATTCTGGATTAAAATCATTGATCTGAAACGGAATATTCGCTGCAGAATTCCAAAATTTATCCCAGTCTTCCATAGTCCAAACTTGGTCTAACACAACGATGCCTTGCTTATCTAACGGTCCTGCCATGGTAACTAGGGTCAAGGCATTAAAAAATCTGTGAAGGTCAAAATAAATTTTTAATCTTGGAAGCAAATAAAACAAGAGCCACGGTTGAACCCCAATGGATATTTCTACGAGTTTACACTATATTTTTATTTCTGTAATAATGACCACACAACCATAAGTTAACAATAGTGATTTCTAATTCAAATGTTGTGCAGCCGCTCGGACACTCTTTTATTTTTTTTTTTTTTTTTTTTTTTTTTTTTTTTAATTGGTTCACTCATTGAGTGATTTCAATAAATATGTAAAAAATAAATAAACAAATAAAATAAATTATAGTCCACATTCCATTCATGATCCATTTGTTAAATTGAGTTTCACAGTATTTCCAGTTTGTTTCATCAGTAATAAGTATCCAACGATAATAATGTTTTTTTAATAATTACAATGATATAATACAATATAAAAGGAAATACACAAAATTAGTAAATACAAAAAACTTATTATAAACCTGATTTAATATCTAAATTAATGCTTTACATAAATTTTGTAATTCTTTTTCAAAGGGTTTGTCTACTCTGGAATTTTCTATATTTTTTCTATACATTAGGGCCATTTTTATCTGTTTTTTAAGGAGAGCAATGTCAGGTGTTTTATTTTCAAATATTATAGAATTTCTCATTATCCAAATTTTATATCGCACTATTGATAATAAAAGAATAATTGCATTCAAATCTAATGCTGTTATATGACTAAATAAAGGATCATTAAAATTCAATAATATACAAGACACTCTTTTATACAGATAGGGTTGAAAACAATAGCTCGTTTTCGTTTCGAAGGATCGCCCACTCCTCAACAGCCAAGCTTCGCAGACGAAAATAGGTGCAAGGAGTCGGAATCCGAGAATATCTGCTATATTGATAGTTGATTCAAAATCGTTTAGAGTGGAGCACGATAGTTTATTTATTGCCTTCAATCTACGTTTGCTATTTTTTTTTAAATGATTTGATCGTTTTATTTCTTTATTGCCAAAATTATCTAAATATAATAGTTTGTTTGTAACTTTCATTAGACTCCATCAATTTTTGTATTGATTGTATGAGCCTCCAAATTGCATCTGCAGTAAACATTTTTGCGTTAGTGTTTGCCTTGCCTGGTTTTTAGTTGTATATTTCGCCAAATATGCCTTTTCTATGATTTTTATTCGCATTTTTATTAGTATTTATTCCAATATAATTCCAATAAATATAATTCCTAGTTTAACCATAAATATGTTTAACCCTGTATCATAATTTCAAATATTTCTAATGTCGCAACTGTATTTGACTCATTCTTAGGATTTATTTATTTTATCCCTCATTCATGTTACTTTTTATTCTAACCTGTAACAGCGCTGTAGGTGTCGCTGCTTGAGGATCTTCTCAGGTCGCGACTCCGGTCACACAAATAACATAATTAGTACTGTATAGTTATTCATTGCATCAGTTTTATTCTATTTATTTACGGTTTTATTTGAACTTGTTTTTGTGATGACAAATAAACGATTGATTGATTGTTATTTATCAGTTTCATGTTTCCTATATTTGTGTATGAATGCGAAATAATACTCGATTATCAGCAGCACAAAATTTGTTCGTCTCTTTGCCTTACAAAACGTTTTGTGGTAACATCAGAGCCATTATAAAACGGCTTTGGTAACACCAATGACATTAAACAACATGATGCGCAACTCAGGCATTTTTGGCCGAAGATCGTATCCGATAGCACGCTCCAATGCACATACTTGACGAGACGAAAACGAGCGGATGTGTGCTGCTTTCAAGGCATAGCACTAATGGTGTTCGTTCCTGCTTTGACAGTTGTTGTCGATTTTAATGATATATTGGAAAATTGAAGGTAAAAAGAAATCGGAAAAAAGTAAGGTAAATACTATTGTTGTATATCACACCCGGGCATTGCACTGGTAAGTACATGTGGGAAAGCCAGCTTTTGTCAAATACTACGAAGTTATTAAATCAGTACGGTACGTAGTTGCCCATTTGCCGAAATTGCATATTTACTTACCCCTTACGGTTTCAAATAGTTCATGCACCTCCAATTAGATTATTTTTAATCAGTGAGGATATATACTCATTGCTGTAACATACTATTGCTCATTCACTTTTATTTGCGTATGGAATCAAAGGGTTAACAAGTACACCTAACATTTCACTCATACCGGTCTATATTGTATAGTAATTTTCTGACTAAACCCCTTTATTAGTTGGTTTATATACCAAATTCAGTAAAAAAATTTTTACATGAAACATGAGATATTGGATTTATTAGCTTTTCCAATCTAAATCATATAGACTGCTTTATTTATTCTTAACGAACATTATTAAATCTCCTCTCTTTCTTTATATGTAAAAGTTGTGGTAAAACCTGTCTAAGCATTGTGGGACTCCTGCAGCACAAGAGGCAATAGCAAAAATAGAAAGTATATCAATCAAGTAATTAAGCCGACATAAAGCAAAACTTTCAACTATTCGTCCAACCTCAATTTCCTATTATTTATTCACAGGACAACTGTAGCAGAAGGGGAGATATCAGAAGTCTGGCGACATATCAGTGACAGTGTGATTCCAAGAAATACAATCAGAATACTCCATAAATGTTTGCAATAGAAGAACAACCTATGGAGACATTTGAACCCCCGGTAGAGTTGTGTATGGCCCCTACATCCTGCAGGGCTTGAGGAAAATAACTAAAAATTCCAAAGCGTAAGATTGCATAAGCGGTCTTATTCGTAAAAAGGCACAAAACATGCCAGACATACTCAAAACAGCTTTGGAAAATGAGGATTATGGGTAACTCACTACACCTGTGTTATATTTGATTCATCAACTTTTGGTAGTAGGCCTACTAAAGAAGAAATTCAGGAAAGGGTATAATCATGATTCATGATAAAATACTGTTTTATATTTAGAACAACTTCAATCTAGATCAGGGATATCAAACTCGCGGCCCCGGAGAACTTCCAGTGCGGCCCTCGAACGCTTAACAATAATTGTAATTGTATTTTGGAGTTTTTTTTATCTAAGTGTAATAGATTTTTCAACCCTTTTAAAGTGAAATTGAATATTCACACAGAAAGCAATTTACTGAAAGTAGTTTTGGAAAATTAATTTTTTTGTTCACATATTGACCCAATTAAGAATACACATCAAGCTAGCAAAAGAATACTTGAATAAAACACTTGAGTGAATAAATTGAACGCAAAGTACATGAAGAAGGTGGCATTTTCGAAGAAAATGGGAGTTGCAATATTTCTGCATTTCACAAAATTTTGAAGCACATTGTTCAATTTGTCATATTTTCATCAGTACAATAAAAAAACACAATAAGCTCAGCAGTCAATATGACAATTTCGAAGACCAACTTCGAACAGAAAATTACCATGTGTTTGTATATTAATATAAATATACAACGAATTAGTTACTAAAAATTAATATATATCAATAATAATTCAAGCAATCCTATGCCATGCAATGTGGCGCGAAATGTCGTGTCGAAAATATCTGTCATTTGTTTTTTTACTGATCTATTCATGAAAGGATAAAAGAAACTTTTTTGCATTACTGGAATTAATTAAACATTCGCAAAGATCCAGATTAACCCATGATCATGTGACCTCGTTAGTTAGAGTTGGTACTATAAAATCATTTCAGCCTTGCCTTAGTATGCTGGTGACACAAAAAAGATGCCAAACGTCAGGACAAATGTAATTAAAAAAACATTGAGTTTATACTGTAGTATTTTTGTTAATTTCAAGTCCATGTATTTAGATCAAGTCATTTTTATTGTATGTATTATTCTTTCCTTATCCAAAGCTTGTTCAAAAATGATTTTGATGGTTGTATAAAGAATTTTATGATTTTTTGTAATAAATACAGTAACTTGCAATAATAGTGGAATGCAAATATTAATATGTAATTGCATTTGAAATTAAAGAAAATAATAAAACTTAATCCAACTTTTTAGTTGCATCACAATATATGTCACAAACTAAAACTATCTGAAAAATATCTTTCAAGTATACATTATCAAAAAGTGTTTTTGGCCCTTTTTACAATTTCCAAAATGCAATGCGGCTCTCAAAAACCCTTGAGTTTGACACCACTGATCTATTCTAGACGATTCAAGCATTGCTTTGGGAAATAATATCACTGCAATTAAATTGAAAAAAATCTCGCTATATTGAATACAAAATCGTTGCTATCATAAAGGTAAACCAATTCAGCCACTCGGAATATATTGGCCTTCACAAAGCAATGGAGGCAAAATTGAGAGTTCATGAGCTATGAACTTATGTTCTTTTCTTTGTCTTAAACTTTATATACTCCACAGCCCCTGTTAATTTTTTTTTAATTTTAATTACCATGTGATGGTCATACATATCTTTAACTTGTATTTTCTGTCATGATGTATTATCTCAATGTGTCAAACTTTTAATTAGTGTGCATATTTTGCTTCCAGATGACATAAATGTACAGTATTGTCTTGTTTATTACCTCAGCTTGGAGTATTTACAAGAAAAAGGTGCCCGTAAATTACGTAAAAAAATTTTTAACTCTTTGGTATAATCAGAATTCACAATTAATAGGAATCATAAACAGCCAATAATCAATGAGAATTATATGCCAAATCACTCAGAATAAATTTGTCTTCTAAAATCGGAGGAAGGCAAAACATATAGGTAGTTTCCATTCATACAAGTCTTTCAAGAAGACTTGCTCGAGCCAAACTAAATGAGCATCGTCAGATGATCGGTAAGTCTGCAAGTTGAATCAGCCCTGCAACCTCCTACATAGAAGATAATATTAATTAGTGGGCTATGAACTAAATTCCTAAATTTAGACACAAACCTATCTACGAGGCATTATGTACCAGCAATGTTACCTACGGTTAACTAAATATGTAATATATATGTCTAATAAATTAACCTACTAAAGCATGTTCGATAGGTGCAAACTTTGTGTTATGGAATTGTATCACAGCACCGTTAAGAGAAGTAAAAACAGTTTTGCATGACACTCTCTTTAAATAAAATTTCAATGTTTTAAGCGCAAACATTAAAATTACTAACTTTGTCATTATCTGCAAAATGTTCTACACAAATCTTTACGCTATCGCGTTTGTAATCTTCTCTGATAAAAAAAACGTCTATGATGTCCAGAATTACTCTTTACAGCTTGTCTGCCATTCCAGCTTCCCAAGTGAGCAAAACTTCTTAGATATAGAGATTATTTTCTTTCGTTACAGGCGCAAAAAGGCAGGCACTACACGTAAAGTAGACGCCGAGTAGCAAAAGCGAGCGGAAAACGGTCGCGAAAGGCGACGAGAAATATGTGCATTGGAGCGTATCATGAAATACAATCTTTCGCATGTAGTCTTATGGAGTGACGTCAGAGTTGCCTATCATGTTGTTTAATGTCATTGGTAATACTATGGAAGGAAAAGAATCACAGATAAAAAAAAAATGTTGGGATTTTCCGAAGTTACAAAACGTTTAAAAAAAAGATAATAATTAAACACATAAATAATAGAACGACCAATGTGGCAGTCAGTCTATGCCAGTAGTTGCCAAACTTTTTTTTCGCGACCCCCATTTTCGTAAAATCAACATTTACAGATATTCGCGACCCCTCAACAGGAAAACTACGGCGCTCCCGAAGTATTTGCACCAAGATGGCGCACAACCTGAACTCTAACCTGGCACACATACCATGTTCAGGTTGTGCGCCATCTTGGTGCACATACTTCTGGAGCTTCAAAAGTACAGTAGAGACTCTACCTGTGAAAAGTAATTCGTTCCTGAAGCCCCTTCGTAAAAAAAATTCGTAAGTAGAAACATTTTAACTGTAAATGCCGTTAATCCGTTCTAAGCCCACACAAAATTCGGGGTACTAATTATACCACTCTCAAAATAAGTGTTAAGAATTTTGCAATGGTAAAGTATAGAGAACATTTTTCTTGTGTGAAGGGTAGGGGAAACATCCATTTTGTATCAAGTTATGTAAAATGTAACAAATTCAATAGCACATATTATTTGTGACAATTTACCTTTAGTCCTGGGTCGCGCTTTTGGCTTAAAAAAAATTGTCCGTTGTCATTTCAGTACCTAATCTGCAATTTTAAGGAAGTTGGAATCTTTGGCTCGGTTGCCAATCATCTGTATTAAATGACTCAGACTCGCATACTCAACTATCCGCCAGAGAAACTTGACTCGAGACTCACTGTTCACGAACTTTAACACAACACGGCTAATCGCATCCTTCAAATGTTATTTTTAATAGCCCAAAAACCAATGCGATTTAGCTGCTAACGTTTTTAAATGAAGACCGCATCTGTACCTTATGATATCATAAAACCACAGTCAGTCTTGTAACAAAATCATTCATGTTTCATAATTAACATCTTACCTATCCTTTATGAAATTGTCCGAAAGTCGATTTATTGGCAGAGTGCCCGACAATTAAAAAAATGTATGTTGCGTGCAAAATTATCAGAAATGATGAATATTACGCCGAAGTCAGAGTGTTTGATTTTTTTCAATTACCAAAAAAACTAGAAACAAATGTTACATTAAATATGATACTGGCATGACTGATTCGCATACGACTGCTCAATTATCGTATATATATATATAGGTTGGTCGTTAGAAAAACAAAAATATTTGTCATACAGCTATTTATTTTCACAACGAATAACTTTTTTAAAGGTATGTGTTATATTCGACAGAATAGCAAGCACGCATTTTATTCATGATTTCGTCTGACATTCAAATTTCCACCTTTAAGCGACCCTATTGACGTATATAATTACAAAACCAAATAAAATTAAAGACTAGGTCTCATGTTCGACTTTTTACGTTTAGTCTAGTATTAATTGCATTGATTTGTTTTCTGGAAAATCAATCGCACAAAAAATAATTATGTTAATGATAGCGAAGTCTCTATTGTCAACAAAAACGCAGAAAATTTAGTGCCACAGAATAATGAAAAAAATCATTTTGCGACAGCATGGTTGTAATGAGCCACTAAAATCCTTGGGCATTTTTGCCTGGTTTTGAATAATAATTTAAAATTTAAATAATCGTTGTGCGTTTATTGTGTTGCGGAAATTTGTTATTTATCAAACTCTATTTACATTATTTATTATCGGAAAAGGCACGCATCAACAATTCAGGACTAACTTCTTTGATATAAGGATTTACACAACAATTATTTAAATTTTGAATTATTATTTAAAACCAGGCAAAACGGATTTTAGTGACTCATTACAGACATGCTGTCGCATAATGATTTTTTCAATATTCTGTCCAACTAAATTCTCTTCGTATTTATTGTCAAAAGAGTTTTCGCCAAGGTTCCCTCTGAGGTGCGCATTGCAACCAGACCATTTACGCAGTAGAATTTCGTTTTCGCGCACTTGTACCATTACGATTTGAAAGCGTGACTCGTCATATTTTCTAACACCTAGCTGGAATACTCATTCCATGTTTTCGAGTTAAATGTGTATCTCGTTAGCATTCTTATAAAATATTATGCTGATGTAATATTTCACATAGTTTGTAAATCATTTAAGACTCTGCTCAGCCTTAAAATATTCATGCTCAGTAAAATAAACATTTGCTCAGTGTAACATTTTCTTAGAGGGAAACTGCATCTTCGCTATTATTAACATAACTGTTTTTGTGCGATTGATTTTCCAGACAACAAATTATTGTAATTAATACTAGACTAAACGTAAAGAGTAAAATATGAAACCAAAGGTCATTTGATTCATTGTATTTCTTGTTTTTATTTGGTTTTGTTATTATATACAATGATATAATATGGTCGTTGAAAAGCAGACAATTTGAAAGTCAGATTGGATCACGAATAAAATGAGAGCTTACTTTTTAATTTTTCGATACCTTTTTTATCTTTTAGGTTCTATTTGATTTAAGTAATATTCTGTGTAATACAACATATGCCTCTAAAAAAGTTCTTCATTGTAAAAATAAATAGCTGCTTAAACAATTTTTTTGTTTTTCTATATACTATGATTGAGCTGTCCTATGCAAATTCGTCATGCCAATATCATACTTATCGTAAAATTTATTTCTAGTTTTATTGTTAATTAACCAAATCAATCAGCCTGACTTCGGCGTAATAATAAGCATTTCGGTTAATTTTGCACGCAACATACATTTTTTAATTCTCGGGAACTTTGCCAATATACGACTTCCGGACAATTATAAAGGACTGGTAAGAAGTTAATCATGAATTATAAATGATATCATTACAAAACTGAGGTTTTATGATACCATAGGGCACAGATACGGTCTTCATCGGCATTTAAAAAAGTTAGCAGCTAAATCGCATTGGTTTTTGGGCTGTTAAAGATAACATTTGATAGATTTGATTAGCTGTGTAAAAGACCTTAAACCTTGAGCAACTGGCGACTCGATTATTGAGTCCAGTTCCTCTGTCAGATAGTTGAGTACGCCAGTTCGAGTCATTTAATATAAATGAGTGAAAACTCAAGCACAGTCAAAGATTCCAACCTCCTTAAAATTGCAGATAGGGTACTGAAATGACGACGAAAAATTTTAAAACGCCAGCAGCGAAGCCCACGAGTGAAGGTAAATTGTCCCAAATAAAATCTGCTATTCAGTTTGTGACATTTTACACAACCTGATACGGAATAAATAGGCTTTGGAAACGCAGACGAAAAACTGTAGAAACGATGCCATCATTTCAAAAGTGTGAAGGCCAATAGAGCTCTATCATTATTGTGAAGAACGATTATTCGTGACTAGGGCTGGGCGTTTCGGAACACAGATAGGTCGCAACGGCACTGTTTCGACCTACGGGCATTATAGCGTCATAGAAGATGCTAACTGAAATCGTCAATGTTCGAAGTTGCTCAGCACTAATTGAAACACAAACGCCGACGATGCAAATCCCTGTACACATCCTGTAAGTTTGGGGCAGCACGGCAAGTTTAGTGACCTTCTGAGAAACAGTTTGGGAAACAGATTGTTTGAGGTACATCTATGTCGATTATGAAATATAAAATAAATTCGTCTTTACATTTACAATTTTTTTTTAAATGGTAAAAAGTAACGATTGGACACAATAATGAGTAAAGACTTACAAGCCTCGCATTATCACGGGTACGCATAGGTTGCAGTGACTTACTATGATTAACTTGATACGTAGGCTAAGTTTACCGGCATATGGGTTTGAAGATGTGTTTTGACGTTCAGTGTAGTACGATGAAACTTCTCGCAAATCCCATTTGAAATGTTGGTATTTATTTTTACCCTTTATTGCAGTGTTTCAATAATCGTAAATTATTCACTTTAGTACCATGTCAGTATCCACAGATAAGCGTGACCTTCCAATGATCACGGACCACGATTGGACAACAGATCATTGGAAGAAATTTTGGAATTCTGCGCCGGTTATTCCGTTCCAGCTCAATGAATTTAACCCCGAATTATTGAAGCGTGAAAAAATGCTGTTTCCGATAGCGGATAAAAAATACCGAGTGCTTTTTCCGTTATGTGGGAAATCATACGATATGAAATGGGTAGCTGATAAAGGCCATACCGTCATTGGTGTGGATTGCTCCGAGAAAGCATTGACTGATTTTTTTAATGAGCATGGCGTGACTTTCGTCGTGAAAAACGACGGCAGTTTCAAGGTGAGTATATGTCGGGGGCTCAGTGATTCCCGTCTAAAATTTCAAACACCATCCCCCCTTAATTTTCATGTGTGACACCTTGCTTCAATACTTAACGTAAGTAAAATGTACATTTTTAAACTGATTCATAAACTTGAACAAACTTGTCATAAAATAAAAACTGCTGGTCAGAGCTATGGAGTCTGAATTTCAGACGTCGGAGTCAACATGTTATTTTTAACACGGATTTAATTACAAACTTTCTCCGACTTCATAGCCCTGATTTCTGGCGATTGTTTTAAGAACAAAGTTAGCGTTATTTATGATAATTTCATGCAGACTTGAAGTGGCGATGTTTTAGTCATGATCCTGAGATAATTATTCCTAAGTCAGCATAACTATGTGGTATAAAATGGCAGAAAATATTCGAATTCCAGGCGGGGATGGTTATGTGCGAGAGGATTGCTGGACCCCTCGCCGCCGTGGGGTGGTTAACGTAAACGCTGGTGGGTTACGGGTTTACGACTTCCTTCGCCATCAAGTCCATGCTTCCAAAACAAATACCTGGCTACCTAATCCCATACCCAATATGGACTGGTAACCGAACGAGAGGCCGTCGTTCGCCATATGAATAATCCGTCGTATCGACTTTCCTCTCCCAGGATAAATATGTAAAATTCTATCCTAACATTACTTACGTAACATTTTAGAACGACGTTTTTCTCTTGAAATTGGTAGGGAAATATCCAAAATCAGACATACGCAAAAATATTTAGCCTGTATTTCACGGCGATTCGTCATTATTTGCGCACACAAGAATTTTCATGGACTGCATGTACGTTACAAAATTGAAAAGATAGAATTTGACTAACAATATATTCCGTTCTTTTAGGTCCTGCAATCGACAACAGTGGGCTGTAATATCACCTTATACGTCGGCGACTTTTTCAATTTACCAAGTGCTTCATTCGAAAAATGCGACGCAGTTTTTGACTACGGGAGCGTTATCGCAATAAAACCCGAAGAGAGAAGAAAATATGCTGATGTCATCAATAAAAAGACGACAAGGGACGTCAACTATCTGTTATGTGCGTTTGACTTCAGTGGTTATATGGATCCAAAACCGCCAACGTATGCAAATTCACCTGTAATGGTTGTCGATGCGTTTGGGGATATATTCAATATAAAACCCATACTTGAAGTTGATAGAGAGAGATACCTCCGTGGTGTACCTAAACCAGTAGCGAGAGAACATTATTACTATCTTACGAAGAAGTGATCAATTGTTTCATTACTTTTGCAACTTGCTCCTATCGGAAGATTATGTACTTTTAATTCTGATTTGGACTATTTTTGAAGCCAATTTGTATAAAATCATCGACTACTAGAACAAGGATGGGCCCCCTGCATTTGGATAAAGTGAAATATCTAAATTATGAATTACTAAAATAGTATTATTATTTTTATCTCTGGTTAATCAATGTCAGCCACCATCAAATCACAACTAAAATGTAACAAATAATGTGGCCTTTTGAAAAAATTAACTACTTTTTTCAAAAAAGATTTCCCGTACGTCGAAAAAAACTTCATTCCTTTGTCCTTCCGGATTACCAATCCGGTCTTTTGATCTAGTAAACTTCTCCGTCACTACACTTTGTGTTTTTAGATTTTGATGAGTCGGAGTTTTTTTGTTTTGTTTATTTAAACGGGCGAATTCTGGTTTTGCCAGCTGGCGAATACGTCGACGTATTCTTGCTTTTTCTCATAAAGCAGAGTGAACAAAAAAACATTTAATTACTTTTACAAAAATGGAGAAAATTCGTTTCACAATTGAACTCTTGTTTGTGTAAAACTGTACCCAAAAGTTTCAGAAATCTTGAACGCTTTCCACAATAGTTATGTTCTCTCTAGATTATGTTCTAAATTGCTGGGTTTCTGTTTTGGGGCTACTCTGTAGTAATCGTTTTTATTTCATTATTTCAGTCGATTTTATCGAGGGTGGCAGCCCTGTTACGGGATTTTCGCGTCTTCTTTCATACTAAAATACCAGTGCGTTTTACTCATCTTTGATAATTATATTAAATGCGGCGATACCTATGGTCTCTTCGTTCGTTTTGTGCGTCAGTCTTTTGTTCCCTCCTCGCATATCCGCTCATAGAAGTAATGTGTTTAGTCGCGCAAGGTAAATAAACATAGCTTTCGTATTGTTGAATGATTAAAATACTAGCGAATCATAAGCGCTTGTGAAGTTGCAGCTATTTAGGTGGGGAGTATACCAAAAAAGGATCTTTGAGGGCAATTCATCTCGCACGAGTTATTTTGGAGATATACGGTAAAAGCTTCGACCACGAAGAGCGTTAGAAAATATATTTTGTGTCAAAAACGTCCCGGGGTTTGTTCTGGTCTAGAATTGAATTTTTGGCACTATCCTGGTATTTTCACGTCACCAATTCTCTACTCTGCTTTCTTTTAGTCTGTTTAGATTATTTTTGGAAAAGTTGAGTTAAACAGAAAAGAGTGGGGCAGTAATCTAATCTTACCAAGGTGTCAGGGTAAACAGAATCAGAGATACAAGGACAGTGTCGAAATTTTCATACGTAGCTTGAAGCTTCAGCAATATTGAATAGAACTGTTCAGTTATCATTAACTTCCTGTCTATCGCTTAATTAGGCTTAGTCAGTAATAGCAAACCATATTCAACCATCGATATAATCCGGGTTTGGTAATCTCAACCATGGTGAACAAGACTTATGTACCTACCCCTCCCTACCCGATGCCACAGCCAGGACTCAACGCATCGCCATGTCGTATTGGTGATTCTTGTGAACAAATTTAATACATGAATATTACAGTGCATTTAGACTTACAGCTCAAACTGGCATGAACGTTAGGATACGTAATTGAGGTGATGCTAGGATTAAGTCAAACCAAGTCGAAGCTTTTCTCGGTCATAATATTCTGAGTTACTAGTTACTACCCAACTGTAGACATGGCCGATTGCGATCCCAGAGAAGATCCTGATATTGCTGTTGTGATCGACACGGGATCGTGTTTGACGAGGGTTGGGTTCGCTGGTGACGATGTACCAAGAGCTATATTTCCATCAATTGTTGGACGGCCAAAAGTTCAAGTAAAGGCTTTTTTGCATATTAATCAAATGTATAGGGTAGGAGTTCTCAAACATTTTGATCCGCGCCCCAGATAGTAGGGCTAAAGTATATTTTATTCAACAACACGTTGAAAATACTTGGGTGGAACGCAAATATCAAAAATAAAGAAATATAAATATCAAAATTAAGAAGGCAAGATAAGCTCAAAATAGCTTCATGTCATCCATGCCATCTCCTTCAATAACTACACCCAAGACCCAGGTAGGAAAAGCCAAAGGTTGTCGAGACGGAAAGATTATCGTTTTTCCAAAATTGCATCCAATTATGTATCAGTGACTGTTTGTTCAGAGCATTGTTCGCAAAAAAGACGTGAAAACACAATTCTAAGAGTTTTACAACACGTGATTTTTTATTTTTATGATTTTTTAATTTACCAGCTATTTTACTGATACATTTTTTCACAATTTTTTTTCATTTTAGCCAGGCATTGTAGGATCTCATCTCAAAGACACTTACGTTGGGGACGAAGCAGTAGTCGAAAACAGCATCTTAAAGAAAACAACTCGCCCTGTAGAAGG